GCTGTACAGCCGTGATAGACTCATTATGTCGAGCAAGACTGTCGTACGCGGAAACGCGGTGCTCTACCATCCACTGCTTCATAATGTCTACTGGTAAAAATGCTAGGAACTTCCGAGTAGAACGGCACTCTCTCCATCATTCTCATCCTAATAGTTGGAGAGAACGAGCCATTTCAAATACATCCCTCCTTTGTGCCGGACCCCGTATTATGGATATTTCCATCCCCGAATTTCACTTTGCGTAATCATATTTTTTTCTGAAAAGCTACGGATTCGGAGCACAACCAACCACTTATGCATCATGACAACAAATTACATGTATAAAGCAACAAGGGTGGCTGGTCAGAGGGTAATAGGGGCAGACCGATATGAATACCGCAACGTTGCGAAGTTTCGTACTTCGTGGCATGTTAGGTATAGGTAGCTATGGTTTTAGACAATTTTAAATTTGTATGTGGTTTAGACATATAGTAATTATATCAGGAGAAGACACTTCCTGGTTGATCCCATTGATCTTGGGAGTCATCTGCATAGGGAAGCCGATCGTAATTTTTTTGTTATATCATCACTAAAGACCGGATTTATAAGCACAAAATTATCAAAAAAAAGTGCTTAAAAAAGCTTCATATTTTTAAAAAAAAGCATCACATTTTGTAAAAAAAGCAAATATAAGTGGATCTTAAAATAATGCAAAATATATTTTTGTATGTATTTAATTCACAAATAAAACAAAATAAACACTTCAAAACAGTAGAAATAAAACTTTAAACACTTTTTAACAGCTTAAGATAAATATAAGATAAATAAATATAAATATAATTTAATCGTTCTGAAAACAGCTTATTATTAAATACTGTTCCAAATGCTCCACTGTCAAATTATGCCTTTTATCGTCTAAGATATATTTATACTTTGAAAAGCTCCTTTCCACGTCTACACTTGTAATAGGAGCGTATTTAAACTTTGAAATAATATCTGGATACATATTTAATTCTGGAACATTTTCGCCACCTAAAACTGACGATATTTGAACCAGTTTCTGAAATCCAATATTTTTTTCAAAAATCTCTCTCATTCTATTTTTAATTAAGCCGCCAATTTTTCCTGGAACAGTATTAATAGTGTTTTTGAAGTCCTCTATTAAAGCAACTGAATCAACCAAAGGAACTTGTTGCTTTTCCAATGATTTAATAGTTTTGCTAATGCAACAGAAGTGGTTTTGATAAAAGCCAAATTGTTTTGGAGCTCTCTATTGTTAAGAACGATCTGACACTCTTGTACTGATTTACTTGTGCTTTCGGAAAATTCAAAAATCAAATTTTTAAAATTTTGGAAATGGTCTGCATAATATATAGCGGCGTCAAGCCATGTTCCCCATCTGGTTAACACTGGTTCTGGAGGCAGTGGAATATTTGGACAATGTTCTCTAAACATTTGTACTCTCAAAGGCGCTTTAACAAATATTTTTTTGCCATTGCTGATCAACTTATTTACTAACGGAAATTGTAAGCGTATGGTTTCGGCAATACGATTGATCCCATGAGCTAAACAGGTGCAGTGAATTAAGTTGCCGTAAAAAACTTTCAAGTTTGTGGACGCCTTAACCATGTAAGAAGCTGCATCTGAGAGCATAAGTAGTACTTTTTCACTTGGTACAGCTTCTGGCAAAAAGAAGTTTGCTAACCCTTCATGTACAAATTTTGATACAGTGTTACTGTTTGTTGTGCTCAATTCTTTGAACTAATTAAATATCCCTTTGTAGGAACCTCGTGGCACAAAACGCCTATCATTAAGTTTGCAATATACCGCCCACAACTGTCTGTAGTTTCATCAACAGTAAACCATATATAATTGCTTCCAATTATTGTTCTAATTTGTTGAATTGTATCGCGATATACAGGATAAATATAGTTTTTGCGTAAAGTACTTTCATCTGGTATATTTCGTTTGCAGTGTTTTTCCAAAAATTCTTTAAAGTGAGTGTTTTTCAACTTGTTTAAAGGAATATTTGATTTTAACATGGCATTGCAGAGATCCTGATTAAATTCTTGTTGTTCACTACGGCCCGAAGCAGATGCCATGGAAGAACCAATTGTTAGTTGTTTAAGCTTATCAACTTTATACTTCTTCATTTGTTCCGAGTGTACTTTCGTTTTCAGGTGTTGAACTACGTCGTACTTTTTAACACACACAATCTACAATAAATGAAGTAGTTTTTACTTGATGCCTGTATAAAATTAATGGCTGATGCATCGTCCTAGGACATACAGGAAATCTCATCTCATGAAATTTTTTAAAGTATTGGATTATTTATTTTGTTAGATTAGAATACCTGCCAAACTGATTAGTGATTACATGGGCTCATTCATATTTTTTTTTTAAAATCAATTTTGACCTACCTAAAATAAAGTCTAAATAGAAAAAACATGATTGTACAAATGCACAAATATGCACAAATAAATAAAAAGTGTGCATGAGTTCAGCTATTTTTGTACTATTCGCAAAATGTGGCTGAACTGCAATTATTTTTTAATTGAGTATCATTAATTTATGAATGCAGCTACTAGTAACTATCGAAATCAATGACAGCTTACCTTTGACATTGGTTAGATTGACAATATATTTTTTACAAAAACAGGTTAGCAGAATTAGTGTTGCGAGCAATGGAACATTCCCATTTATTCTCAGAGATCGTTCGCGACTTTATTTGTGACATTTATTTTCAAGAGCATAAATCCGAACCCCAAGAATTTTAACGTTCCCATAGCATTAGCGTTAACATTAGGTATGAACGGTCCTTTAGCAACGAGACGTTGCAACACCGGATCGCCTCGCATTAGGTTGGCTGTCGTCGATCGTTGACACCAATGACATCTGACAGTGTTGGTTTTCGGGGATTTACAGATCGGTTTATTTTATGCTTTGAATTTTAAGAGATTGCATAAGTGTTTTAAGAGATAAGTGGATTGATATTATTTTTAACTTAATAAATAGAGCACAATTAGAGCGCAGACTTTTTTGATTTCAGATATTTTCCTAATATGTTTCCTTTGTTTTATTTTCTTCATTTATACTCGTATGTACTGAAAATTTTCGTTCGTGCTCGAGGAACGTTCTCGAAAAAAATTCTCGAACATTTTACAACACTAAGCAGAATGCATTCAAGTTTGGTAGGTAGGATTAATATGGGATTTTCTATGTGCTCTAGGACTAATCATAATCAATAATCATCCGGTATACCTAATGTTATGAAAAACTTACCGTTTTTATGCAAGCTTGACAAAATACTTTTCCATTTTCAATTTTTAATTCCGGGTTATCCTTGATCCAGACCTTGAGGTTAGTATAATTTACTTTTGACATCATTTATTATTTACGCACAGTATTAGGTCACCACAAAAAATTATTTAATTATTCACTTGTACTTGGAGGATCGGTGACACGGTATACGATCTGTTATTTATTTAAAATATCTTAACCATGAGCACCCTACTAGCAGCCTAGAATTGCGTATCGAACATCTATTTTTAGAATTGCACGAACACACAAACACTGATCGGGGTTTCACCAGAGAAATGGAGAAGGGAGAATGAGTTTCGAAGAGTGTGCATCATTTCAAGGGACCGCCATTTTCTAGGCAACTCTGTTCTTAATGAAATTTTTAACAATGTGAAGTGATAAAACTTTGTGTACTTTAGTGACTTCGGTTCGAATCAACGAGACATTCTGTAAATTCCTACATGTATTTCTACTAAAACCAGCATTAAAGAACTAAAAAGATACTTTTTGACGCTCTTCCGTAAGCTCACAGTAAACAAATTTTCTATACAAAACGACTACTTTTTAACACTCCCAGACAAGTTTTTACTAGAAAATGGCGAAATTTATGATTAGTTCGTTCGCGCATCGAAATAGTTATTCTCCCCCACTCCATATCTCTGACGTGTCGCGTCGCGTCCGTCCCAGTTTGAGGAGCACTTTTGGTTAAGCCTTTGAATAGGTAGAAAAAAATAAGATATTTAAAGAAAAAAGTTCAAAATAAGCGCAAATTTAGAAAATAAGCTTGAAATTAAGAAAAAAAGCAAAAAAAGCACTTTTTTTTGAAAAACTAATAGTTTTTTTATTTACTTTGTACTTAAAACGGCATTACTTATATACTGCTTACAAATTGGCGTATAAGCAAAATTGCTTAAAATCCGGTCTTTAATCATCACACACTGATATCATATGACTCAAAACCTTGCGGTCGACTCCTAGACTATTACTGGTTTACAAATAAAAACCTTCATCTATGTGGTCTGGCCAAGCTGCCATAAAATATTTATAAAACGCTACATTTATAAAACGCACAATGGAGTTCAGCTCTTTTCAGGTTTTTGGCGGTTACGTCAAAAAGTCAGAGCAAAAAATGCGTTAACTTCAAGTTATGCTCAATGAATTCATCCAAAAAGCATTATCTATCTGGCAACAACGCATTACTCTTCCGAGTAAATGAGAGCACCCGTGTTTAGACGCCGTCAGCTGTTTTGTGGACGCCATGTTCTTGAAGTCATCTCTTATCTCTCTCAAATTTTATTTGCCTTGTCTCTCTTCCCTTTGCATAACTACTCTCGTTTTCCTTAGAAGTTGAGCATCACATATACATGATCCTTTTTTGTTTCAGAAACGTGAGGAAGGTTGGTGGGTGGTGATCGGTGATGCAAAGACAAATTCTCTACTATCCATCAAAAGGCTAACGCTACAACAGAAAGCTCGCGTAAAGTTGGACTTTGTTGCACCAAGTCCCGGCCATCATAACTATGCCCTGTACTTCATGAGTGATGCTTATTCAGGATGTGATCAGGAATATAAATTCTCTATAGATGTAGGTGACTTTGAGTCTAGTGCGAGCGATTCTGAGTAATGTAAGTGATGTGATGTTCTTTTTTTATTTGTATTACGGTTGATGTAATATATAGATAGTATAATAATACATTAGTTTTTTTTATAATATACATGGACCACATAGTGTACTCATATGCAAATCGCTATTTTAATAGCATCAGCTGATTCCACAGTAATTGATTGAATGAGACAAATATGTGCAGTGATTTTTTAATCTATAAAAAACAAGTATGGTGTAAAAAACTATAAATCTTTTCGATATTTCCTTTATAATAAATTAATAGCTTATTCAATACAAAAATAATATCTTATACTACAAAGCATATAAAGGCAGTGCTCGTTACAGCTAACAACAGATTTGCGATGAGGCTTCTACTCCCATTTTCTGGAATATACTTAGTTTTATCCATCATCCAATAGAAACCATGCATCCGGTTCTGTCTCTTCAATTCTGCTCCTACATGCTGTCGAATTTGTTCATTGTATTTGTTCAGCCATCTTCTCTGTAAGAGAGTAACACCTTTGTTGAGTACAGCTTTACACTTACTAGCTAAGCACTTTGTAATTTAGCTTCCCTTTTAATCACAAAATACACAAAAAATGACAAGCAGTTTGACTCTGTACTTCTCACGCAACGCCGTCATCAGTTCATAAAAGATTGTGTTCAGCTCATGTTAGACCCTCTGGGTAACATACACATTAAATGGATCAAGTCAGTCAAACAGGCCCACACAATTAGTACATAGAAATTCCCTGCCCTACTGATAGTCCATCTGGTAACGTCGCCTTTCCCCGCAACCGGACGGCACAACGCGGCACCAAGGCCGGCACGCTCGCCGGTGATCCCAGACAGCAGATGCAATGACGCGTATCGAAAGCATTTCACAATCATTCTGTTTTAAGGGGATATGTGAAATATGTATTAAGATGTGCGTAGAACTACCGAGGTTGGGAGCGTATAAATATACTATAATCAAGAGACAACACTCCCCCATCCCTCTACAACCCCTAACCCCTCAAGGCTACACCCCTAAAATTTTGTTCAACAATGATCAGAATCCCCTGAAACGTCAAAAAACGAAGTATGAGTGATTTTTATTCCTTTCGTTTTTGGCCTTTTTCTCCGCCGCCGATTTTCAAAAACTAGAAAGCTTCTTCGTTCCTGGCATAGCAATATCCTTGTATGGAAATGTCATCAAATTCCGACCGGTACTGTCAATTTTATTATTAGCGAACAGACCGTCGGAAATGAGTACGAGGGCGGTCCGATAAGTACTTAGCCTACAATTTTTTTTTGTAAAAGTGGCGATTTATTTCTCAACATAGTCTACTTTTAGCTCAATACACTTCAACCAGCGATGCTGCAACTTTTTTAACTCGTCTGAAAAATACGTTTTCTGGAGGTCTGCAAAGTAGGACTCCGTGGCGGCGATAATCTCCTCATTCGACTCAAGTTTCTGTCCGGCGAGTGACTTTTTCAAGTTGGGAAACCAAAAAAAGTCGCACGGTGCCAAATCTGGAGAATACGGTGGATGAGGCAGCAGTTCGTAGCTTAATTCGACCAGTTTGGGAATGGCGACGGCGGAGGTATGAGCCAGTACATTGCCATGGTCGAAGAGCACCTATTTTGTCGCTAAATGGTGCCGTCTTTTCTGCAGTTCGGCGTCGAATCGGCCCAATAATTCAGCATAGTAGATTCTGCCCTTCTCCAGATAGTCGATGTAGATTACACATTGTGAATCCCAGTGTCGACTGTTCCTTGGTCTGTGGTGTGTACCAGTGGATCCATGTTTCATCGACTGTCACGAAACGACGCAGAAACTCCTTCGGATTGTTCTTAAACAGCGCCAAACACTGCTCCGAAGTGGACTCACGGTTCCGCTTGATGGCCGGAGTGAGCTAAGGAGGTACCCATCGTGGATTTTTGTCACGTTATCCTCCGTGGTAGCCGTTTTCGGGCCACCCGGGCGTGGCTCATCGGAAACCGACGTGCGACTACGTGGAAACCCGTTAAACCAGTTTTTTACATCAAAAACAAGAATTGAATCACCGACCGGTATTGCTCTTTTTCCATTTTCTCTAAAATCAGCGGACAGGCCTCTTCCACAAGCGGTCAAAAAAAACTCATTTTTGAAATTTTCCGCTATTACAATACTTCCTCTCCAGTAGGCGTGGAAAGTAAAACTAGTAAAATTTTTGTTGGGTCTGCAAGTTGCATTTACTTCAATTTTATAAGCTTCATTTGAGCTTTGCAGACTGCATTTTATTTATTCAAGAGAGCTTCAGATACCAGAATCAGAGCTACGAGGTAAAAGCAAAAAAAAGGTATTTTGTACCACTAACCTGATGAGGTGAAAGCAACTCCAGTTTGATCAAGTTTGGTTCAAATGGAACCAAGGTTATCACTTTAAATCCAAGGAATGCATGTCCTCCATGATTTAACCATGGCTTATCAACAACTTGTAGTATGTTTTCCAGCTTTATTCCAAACTGACCGTCTCTGTAATATCCAGGCTCTAAAATAGATAAAAAATAAAATCTGAATGATGTTGCATATAGCAAATCTTTATTCTCACATATCCCTTCCCTCTCGCATTGACTTCACAACGTAGAAAATATAAAAGTAACATTATTTGTTGACTCACCATTTGAGAGGAAGTATCCGGGTTTGAATGTTTGTTCCGAACTGACTTTAGAATTAAAGTTGATTTTGATCGGAGCTGGAAATAAAACAAATGAATCACGTACATATTTGATGGGTTTTTGTCGAAATTGCAGATATGCACGAATATTTTAATATCATCTTTAATTTTTAAAACATTTCGATTTTCATAATTGGTCGTTATGTAAGTTAGTCTGTATATTTTCCTCAACGTTGGAGATTGGACGAAATGATATTTCTTCATAAGGGTGGTACAGGTCCTAGACTACCAGAATCATACAAGCCAATCACTTTCAGCAAAGGCACCATATATATCATAATCTATATAAAATAAAGGTTACAAATTGATTTATTTATGTAAATTCAAATGACGTTGCCATATTATTATAGGAAAGTTGCTCACATTCTCTAACGCCCAAAAACGATCCAACGCCATGACCAGTGTCTTGGAAATAGTCCATTCCGACTTCCCACAAAGCTGATCTGGCCACAACATCGACCATTGCCATTTTCAAACGGCTGGGGAATGTCAACATAGACAGCTGGATCATTCCTGATAGCACCCTTGTATAAGCTTCTTTCACGTCATCAGATGGAGAACCAAAGTGCAGTGTTCTGGTAATGTCCGTTGTGCCACCTGTAAATACAAGTTCTAAACTTAAAAGTTTTAGCTTCCAACCAAAACGATATATGAGGTTCTGAATCCAAGAATGAATAAAAATAGTTCAAACTACTGATTTGTTCACAGTGCCAGTTTGCTGACAGTCGGCGACAAATCATGGTCGCGAAGCTTTAAAATGCATGCAAGAGATGATTTGCATAAATGTGACTGAATTTCGTCGGGCCGCCGCTGAATTTTCTCTTTCAATGCACGTTTGTAAAACGGTGTTAAATCACCTGATCTAGGGAGCCAATTCTGTATGGCATGTGGCACGGAACTGTTGAAACCTCACGTTATTCACCTGAATGTTATCCGATCCATACGAATAAGAATACAAGACCAAGAAATGTCTCATGCAGTAATTGAATTATTTCACGAGATCTGGCACCGTTTTCTTAACATGCGTTACCAATTTTGTTCAATTTAAACAGACAGTCATGGATTGAGGTAAGAAATCTAACGAACATTATTTATGCAAAGTGGCAATGGAAATTTCCAGTAACTCGACTTTCAATACTAATAATAAAAAAATAGGATATTTGAATGTTTCCTCCATTTTATAAATTTAAATACTGAATTGACACACAAAACAGACGTCATCAAATATTTACCATTGACCACAAATAAAATTCTTCTAATCATGTAGACCGATTTCATGTTTAACTGGCAAATATTTCCTGTATTATAAGAACAATTAGTTACAACGTAGGGAAAAGCAAAGCCTTAAGCAGTTACTTTGCATTAGAAAGTAGATTGAGATTTAGCATTCTTTTGATGTGCCTGCTCACAATTTTTTTTAAAACATTACTTATTCTACAAGATAAACTATTAGATATAGAACTGAAAGCAATCCTAGAGATACATGCAGGTATTTATTTCTAAATCTTAAAATAATGACTGAAAATAAATGTAAATTTAAAACATATGTTACGATATTAGACGAAAACAAGATCTTAAATCATTAGTACCTAAATCAGCAGATCAACAGTTGTGAAAGACTTCATAATTCATTATGGACTGCGTTCCTCATGTTATCAAAAAAAATCAATAATTTAAAGCATTCTGCCGTGAACGTAAAAACTTTCTAATATGTAAGCTTTATTATATCATGTGTGAGTTCTATAATTCATGTTCACATGTAATTTTCTTTTTAGTTTTAAGTAAGCTTTGTCATTAATAATTATAAATATGCTTAGTTGTTTGAACAATATACTCATTCTTATATTCTTCAGACAATAAAGCATATTCATCTATCTGTCTCATAACCCTATACTGTGTATAAAAATAATAATATTCTAAAGAAGTTTTATATTTGATTCAAATCTGAATTTTGGGACATTATAGATGACTAGTGATATTGAGGATTAACTCGTGAAAGGATCAAAGTCTTTTCAGTTATGTGCCAGCCTTTCAGCGTTATCTACGGAAAGTTGGAAATACGTGAGAAGTAGATTGCGAAGGTAAGTTCCATATTCATCAGATGTGGGAGCTGCTTAAGGGACCGGTGCAAAATAAGATCATTTCAATCGCTGTGAAATAAACTTAAGGGTTCTGGTTGGAATTTGAACTGGTATCTGTTAAACAGATTGGGATCATTGCCATATTTAACTTTGGCAAGATGGTCTAGCGTGGATAGAGTTGTAGGTATCTCTTGAACACCAGAATGTCTTCAATTTTCTCATTCTTGAAGTAAAATCAATGGTATTAGTATCGATTAATGTATTCTACCTGGTATTACGTATGCTGACTATTCCACGAATTATATTCAAATAATCTATAGTCAGTTATGTAAACACAAGTCTATAACAATCTATAACAACACACTGATCAAACATTGCATAGCAAATATGTTTATTTTATACAAGATTATAATCATAATTGAAGAGTATCGTTTGGCTCAGTGATTTTATTATACTATACAATATAAGTTTTACGTCTGAAAATATTGGTATAATACGTTGTTTCAATTTTTACGTCCTTGCTGAATATTTAACAATATGCATAATATCTCTATTGACGTATAATAATCCGTAAACCATTACTTAGAATTTTTGCAATTCGGGTTCAAATGATCACGCTATAAACAAAACTGAAATAATAATAATAATAATATTTATTCGCCAAAATACAAAAAATGGTCGGATAAATATGAAAAAACCACAGAAGGCATCGCCTGTGTGTGGTTTATATCTTAATAACCACCAATCAATCATATATGTGTATAACAATTATTGTTAAATCTAAAAAGTATTAATGTAATTGGAATTTTGTAGTTTTAGTTTTCTATATAATTATGTATAGTCATTCGCTGCACAGTACAAACCCAGTCTTTCAATTTTCATCTAAATTTTTTCCAAAATTAAGTATTTTTATTTCGTTTGGTACTACAATATTTAATTTAGCTGCTAAGAGTTTAAATGATTTTTTGAATATTGTTTTGTGTGGTCTTTGGATATTATATGAGCCTATTCGAAATCGTGTGTTATGCTCGTGTTTATAGGATTTTTTTTTTCATTACAATACTTATGGTATAAGGTGGTGGCTTGTAACAATTAAAGTTGTCTTGTATCAAGTATCCCTGTTTCCTGATATAAGTTGTTCGTCGGATATAATCTTGGCTTATGGAAAATAGCTTTCAAAACAATTTTTGGTGCTATATTCAGGTCAGAAATATATGTCTTGCAGGCGGCACCCCACGCTGTGATGCCGTATATTATATGGGTTTCAACTAAGGCATGGTACAGGATTCCCAGATAACTTTTTGTAAGAATGTTAGCAAGCATTTTGAGTTTATAGGCTTCATTTCTAATTTTTTTGATAACATATTTAATATGGTTATCCCACCTTAGATGTGAGTCCATAAATATTCCAAGATATTTCAAAGTGTTAACTCTATCGATTTTGGTCTTTTGGCCATGATAATTAACGGAAATTTGTTCGAAGGTAGGTAAAAATTTGGAATAGGATGTAAATGCAATAAATTTTGTTTTTTTGAAGTTAACTGTTAAAATTTTAGTATCAAACCAGTCAATGATCCTTATAAAATCCTTTTCAGCTATTTGCTTCAGTGTGCTCCAGTCATTAGCTTTATATAATATGAGGGTGTCATCTGCAAAACATATAATCTTTCCAGAACTGTTAATTTTGAATAACTCATTTAAGTAGAGACTAAATGATAATGGACCTAGTACTGTTCCTTGAGGCACACCATACTTGATGTATATTTTTCACTGTAAGTGTTAGTGATTTTGACAGTCTGTGCCCGACTTGAAAGGTAATTTTTTAAACGGATTTGTGACGCTCCCCTAAATCCCAATCTTTCCATAACTTTCAGAAGCTCGACATGGTTAACCGTATCAAATGCATTTTTTAGATCTACAAAGATACCAATAGTAGGTATCTTTTTGTTGACATTAGAGTTAATTTCATCCATTGTAGCCAAAATTGCATCTGTAGTAGATTTTCCTTTTCTAAATCCATATTGGTCAGAACATATAATTTTGTTTATGTCCAAAGATTGTAATATCCTTTTTGTAGTAATTTTTCGAAAATTTTTGCTATATTCGATAGTACTGATATGGGTCTATAATTTGATGTTTCCATTCTGTCACCGCTTTTATAAACAGGAGTAATAACAGTTGTTTTAAATGCATCAGGACAAATTCCAGATTGGAAACACTCAAATCCATATCTACTCATATATCCTATTGAAATCAATTTTAAAACAGCAGGTAACAATTATTCAAATCCTACTTCCTGCATGTCTTCTTCCTCTTTCTAGGCCGTCTACATTACAGATGGTCATTATACGAATTGTGTTGACTAGACCTTAAGCAGCAATATCACTTACCAAAGTATTGCCCTCCTGAGTCCAAAACGATTGTGCTGTTTGTGAAAATTTGGGTATTTGTATTTATAGTAGGTTCATAGTTTGGGTAAGCTGAATTTTCACCAAACGCTACTACAGTCCGAAAACTGTTGCCCAGTGATAGTCTCTGTTCATATCTGTATTCATCCAGGATTCTGACTACGTCTAGTTCTGTGAAGTTCTCACCATCTGTAATCTAAAAAACACGATTATTCTATCAGTGATATAAAAATTCCTAAATCTTTGAAGTTCCTGTTCATTTTTGTGCAGTCAAGACATTTCTTTGAAGTTTAGAGAAAGCTAGGAATTTTATTTGAATTTATATCAAGCTCAATTTTTTAAGCTGGTATCAATCACAAACTCTTTGCACATCCGGGACCTATAGTCATACTTTACTATTTTTTGAAGTCAAGTTTAATAGAGCATTTCTAAGAATGCCGATCTGTGTACCGCGTGTTTCAAACTCGAATCTTACCATTTGGATCTCAGAAACGGTAAGAGATACGAATTTTCTCAGTATACGTTATACAGGGTGTCCGCAAAGTTGGGGTTTTCCTTTTCAGAAACAACTACCCTTGAAATAACAAAGGTAATGTGTAGTGAAACGAGAGCGACCAAGTAAAAAAAATAAAGGAAAAAGTACTCACTCTCCAGTTGACGAGAAGGGCTAAGTACGTCTCTGCCCGAAATCATACCACTCCAACAGAAAATGAAATCAGCTGATGCGCTACCGAGCAGACGCAGATAAACAAAGAAGGCAAAATGTTGCGTAAAAAGTCTAGGTATTGCATCCCGTCCAATCGATTTTGGAGAATAAATGGTCCAATGAGCATACCATTCACCATGCCAGCCCAAACATTCACCGAAAATGTTTGTTGAAAATGTGCCCGACGGACAGCGTGCGGATTTTCTACTGACCAAACATGAGTGTTGCGAAAGTTGTTCACCCCATTACACGTGAACGTAGACTCGTTTGTCACCAATATGCACTTCAAAAGTCCGGATTATTGTCATGTTGATGCAACAACCACTCACAAAACTGCACTCTTGCTGGAAAATCGTTAGGTTGAAGGGCTTGTACACGTTGGACGTGAAACGGATACAGCCCCTCTTCACGCAGCGTTTGCCACACTTTAGTTTTTGATACTTGCACTTCTCTAGCCACGTCTCTAGTGCTTGTTGTTTTTGAAACGCAATCGATTATACGGGTTCGTTTACCTCTACACGCCTGACCGTAACCGTCTGTTGAAGGTTGCATACTGACCTGACACCCTGACCCCGACCCAGTTCTGTCGTCGAGTTGAGCTAGTGTCCTATACTATAACTATCTAAAACTGTAATGACTCATCGATGTTCACGTGAACATCACTTAACTACCAGTAGTCGGCTGTTCATAGGCGGGGTATGAATGTTTAACATGGGTGAACTAGATTTGTCACATGCTTAATAAAGAGTGGTTTGAAACATATTGTAAGTCAAAAATTTGGGAATTACCTTTATTCATCGTCGCTTCCACTTACATCTGACAGTAATAAACTGTCGCTATCGCTTTCCTCGTTGAAATTGACTATAACTGGCTCTATGATGGTGTCGATGTGGTGGTCAAGCTGCCACATTTTTGTTTCTTCCTTCACAACATGACGGATAGCATTCTGCCAAGCTTCGGGCGTTACTAGCTGTATGGAAGTCTCAAGTAAAACCTTAACGTCTGGTAATTTCAAGGTTGTGTTATGGCGCGCAATATAACCCTTCACTTGAGCCCAGATGAGCTCTATTGGGTTCAGTTCACAGTGGTAGGGCGGTAACCGCAGCACAGTGACACCACATTGACGGGCCATCTCATCAGTCACGTAACTAATGTTCGCAGGTTTGTGCTGTTTAATTTTTTCATACAATTCCGCTTTCACACATGAATCGTCAAACGGGATTCCTTTTTCGCGCAACCATTGCTGCATGTCACTTTTCGAGATCCCATAGTCGGTACACGTTCGGCTCGACGACTATGGTAGGAAGCATTATCCATGACGATCACAGAGTTGGGCTCAACTCGCTGAAGCACCCCTTGAAACCAGCTCTCGAAGCAGCTGGCATTCATGTCGTCATGGTAATCACCTCCTTTCTTAGAGACGAAAATCAAGTCACACTCTTCTAAAAAGCCACTATCGCTACCAATATGAGTTACGATCAATCTTTGACCTTTCCCTGACGGTCCACGAAGACCTGTTGACAAACCTTCAATGCTTGCTTGTCGGTTACTCACTACGTTTTTGTCTATCCAGGTTTTTTTAACTGTGTGACCTGCATTTACCCATGTCTCGTCCAAATGATAGATTTTTCTGATTTGTCGCCTATATTCAATCATTTCGCGTAGGTATTTTCGACGCCAGGCGACTATTTCAGGTCTCTCTATCAATACTGACTTCCGATTACGCGTTTCGTAACGAAAATTAATTTCGTGCAGGGATTTCCTCATTACCTCGACGCTCATTTGGGGTATAATTTAATTTTCCTTGATCGCTGCATGTACAGCCTTGAGGGTTGGTATCTCATTCCTAAAGAAGAATGAATATACGGTTCGCCTTAACGCCATTTTGCTATCGTCATCCAATTTAACGGCCTTTCGTCCCTTCAAATTAAACTTTGGATCAGTAGTAGCTCCAGTTTTCTTCTTTCATGCACCACCCTGCGAATGCTCCACTCTGGAACGCCTGTCATACTTTCACAACGCGCGAGTGCATCTCCCTGCGACATAGTTCTGTTCACGTTGAGCACGATTTCTTTCGCGTCCCTCTTCAGTGCCTTACGAAGCCGTCTACTTGTTCCCTGGCTTTCAGTACTTCCACTCGTGCCATTTGTACTCTCCATGGTTAAGTATAACCAAAACAGTAACCACAGAAACCACAACAATAACAATCACACAACAATTCTTATAAAACACACAATACGCGATCGCTCAACGAAACACGTTCCAATGCGTTGCCGACGCCTATGAGTCTGCCGGTCGAGGCGCGTCTTATAGTACCAATTGGGGATGTCGCGAGTCGCGGCTACAGGACGGTATTCAGATATTTTTGATATTGCAGAGCCCTTTATCTCGGTTCCCTTAAGACATTGGTGTATATGGTACTAAGAAAAATTGCTTATGTTTTCAAGATCTACACGTCGTGCAAAGGAAAACCCCAACTTTGCGGACACCATGTATTTAACTGACTTTATTTGAAATATCAGATTTCAAAATAAAAAGTACACTAACATTGCCACTTTTTCTCTTTTATAAGATTGCAAACTCAGAATTCCAAATTAAAAACTCTATTCACCTTTTCAAACAGCCAATATGGCGATCGTAAGAATAATTAAAGTTGTTGATTGAGAACAAAAGGCGGAACATGATGAAACTGTAATTATGCCATGTGGTACAGCAAAATAAATAAAATCAGGAAAAAATAAAAACGATTTTGGGAAAATTCGGGTTCTTTCATTTATCTCCATAAATACTCGGAATTGCGAAGCTTTGTAATGGTTATTTTCTTAGTTACCTACATAAGTAACTTTGACTATCGAGTCAGTCTTCTTGATTTATCCACTTACCCGTTGTTCGATATACGCGAAACAGTCACACACAGCAGCAGAATCTTTCACATTGGCTTCTAGCATTCCTTTGATTTCCACCTGATTTTTCAAAGCTTTTAGATATATGATCGGAGACTGCATTGGCAATCTTCTTTCAGGATCAATGTGCTGGTAGATTGCATGGCTAGCACCTTCACTGTATACGCAGTAAGACGGAACTAGGATCTTTTTGTAATACTGCGATTCTGTTCTTAGATCCGTCCAAATGTCATCGTAGTCTCGCAAACTGAAAGTGATTTTTTAAGTCGTATCTATAAACAAAGTCGAGTATCGAAAGATAAAAACTTTACATGATGCTTTCGTCCGACCAAAAAGATAGACAACCATAGACAGCTGTTTCGTGTTTATTGCCTATTCATCAGCATGGTCTAGGTCTGTTGTCTCTGGAAAAACGAACGAAAGCATCGGTGCGGTCTATCGAAATAAGAGCGCAAAGCGCCATCAATCACACCAGAATCGACTATGCGGTTTGCGCTGTCTTATATCAAAAGGTGTTTTTCCGGTTTTATCTTTCGATTCAGTCTTAGATATGCACGCAATTTTTAGTTAAAAAGGTGTTGTGACCTTAAAGCCTTATTTGGAGTGACTTTTCAAGACTTCCTGCCTCCTGTTAATCCTGTTTAAAGATGAAAATGCCCCTCATCAAGTGATTCAAAAAAAAAATTCCTGTGTAAGTTTCTTATATGGCTAGAAAAGTCTCTCTTCTGCGTATATTCAAATAGTTATGAATTTTTGGTATCAGCTTTCAAAAAAAGTTTTAGGGGATGGAAATACCTTACATGGCCAATAACGCGTTGAAAAGTCGTCGAACTCTGTATTTATTTATTACCGGAAAAATGCATGCTCAAAGGTTTTTCCAAATTCTAAATTGTTACTTTTTTTAGAAAAATGCTCACATTAGATTTGCTGTCAAGCGACTTTGGATCAATCAAATAGGCTGGTTTGGGACTCATGCTCTTGCTGCAGTCTTCAAAGTATTAAAAAAGATACCAAATTTTCTTATACGAACAACGTAAAACAGTGTCACCAATGGTACATCTAGTCATACTTTGACTTACAAGCAATAGTTAGAATAAGTCGGTTGATTTTGACAGTTGTGATTAGCTAAAAATCTGAGAAATATACACTTTGTCAAAAAACTCCTTTGGACTTTGGGGGCCCACATTTTTTTCTCAAAGAAATTACCGTGACTTTAGTATAACCAACATTAAGCGTCGCTTTTAAACTGACGTATAGAAGAAGATGTGATGTTAACGAAACTGCCTGTTCAAAAGTGTATTATTTCATATTACCTCTACGCACACCTTAAAAAGATGAGACTCTTTGGCATGGAATACCTCAGCGAATTCAAATGACGTCATGGGTTTGATGGAGTACCTAACAGCCTATGTTTATTATATAAAATGTCTTCTTTTTGGTTTTGTACTCAACATTTACATTGTAATATAAGTATTTTTTAAAATCTAAAAACATTGCCCTCAATTATCCACCTTTTAATTGTATACAGGGTGTTTCAGTTTACTGTTGCATAACTTTAAGATTCGATAGAACTTTTAAAATTAATGCATGAAGTCTATATAAACATGGGTCGAAAAATGCGTGGCTTCCGAATTTACTTTCTAAAATAGTTTTTTTTAAATATTTCGAACAATATTTGATGTATAACAGGGAAAATTGGTATACAAGGGTTTTTTGGTACGACAAAACGAACCATGGGCATAGTTTTACTGTAGCCGCTAGAGGGCGACCGAAAATTTTTTCTTAGTGCAATTTTTTGATTTTTGAATAAAAAACTGATTCTTCGCACTTTTCAACATAAAAAAGCTCTCTTGTGAATTTTCATTATAGTTAGCCGTTTTTGAGATATTTCGATTTTTAAGATTCGATGCATTTTTAATTATTTATGATAAAATACGTTAAAAAGTCAGTATCTTGATAATTTTTAGAAGTAGGCTGTGCCTGCAAATATTTTTGAAATTGAAAGCAGAATAAGGTTAAACGACAATTAGTTGACAGTTAGTTTTGTTGTCTGTTGAAACCTGAAACGTTTTTTGCAATTGTGAATGCACGAAATTTAGTTTGTTTTACCTGTTTTTTTTGTAAGTTTTATAAAAATGCCATTTTTATTCTCCAATCAAGAGTTAGCGGATATCCATTTTGTGTATGGCTTTGTAAATGGAAACGCAGTAGAAGCAGCCAGAGAATACGCACGAAGATTTTCAAACAGACGACATCCAACTCGCTCAGTATTTGTAAGAGTGCATCGCCAAATAATTGAAAATGGTATTGGAAATCTCCAAAGGGATCAAAACAAATGTTCGTCAGCGCAGATTTACCCGTATGATTCTGCGTGAGTTTGATAGAGATCCGACCACAAGTGTTAGGAGAGTTTCTGGTGCCTTGGAAATTTCAGCAAGCCATGTTCACCGTGTTCTTAGAAATGACCATAGACGTCCTTACCATTTGCAACCTGTGCAAGGAATACAGCCAGGGGACGGAGAACGAAGACTCACATTTTGTCAGTGTTGATAGAACTGATAATAATAGGAAGTTTTGAGTAACGTTTTATGGACCGATGAGTCATGCTTCACTAGACGTGGAGTGGTAAATTTTCATAATCAACATGTTTGGTCGCATGAAAATCCGCATGCAGTTCAGGAAAGAAATTTTCAGCATAAATTTAGTGTGAACGGGTGGATTGGTATCTACCGTAATCGACTATTTGGACCCTACCTTTTGCCTGCAAGGTTAAATGCTGCGACCTTCTTGGAATTTTTAAAGGCTGAACATGCAAATATGTGGGATGATGTTATGTTAGATTTAAGAAGATTTGCCTGGTTCCAGTTTGATGGTTGTCCAGCTCATTATTCGAGAATAGTTAGAAACTGGCTGGACGAAAATTATCCAGAAAGATGGATCGGCCGTGGAGGATCAGTCGCCTGGCCTCCACGATCCCCTGACCTAAATCCATTAGATTTCTTTGTGTGGGGATTTCTAAAAGAAAAAGTGTACCAGACTCCCGTAACCACAAGAAATATGCTAATAGACAGAATCAGGAATGCATGTGATGAATAAGGCCTTATTTGAATAATGCTATACCACGTTCGATCATTCGTAGATGTGAATTGTGTATTGAACAAATGGGTTTACATTTCGAGCAACTACTTTAGATTTTGTATGTTTGTCCTAACTATCCAATAGCATTTTAGTTGTAAATAATTAATTTAATTTGTTAAAAATAATATTGGAAAATTAAACAAATTAATATTCTGTTTTTTGTGTTTTTTTGGAGTTAGGAATTCTTGTTGTGTTTAAAAACACAATCTAAACGATCATCTTAATTACGTGTAATGCCCAAATCGAAAATGTAAAAAAATATTATTTTCCCATAAATAATTAAAAATGCATCGAACCTTAAAATCGAAATATCTCAAAATGACTAACTATAACGAAAACTCACAGGAGAGCTTTTTTATGTTGAAAAGTGCGAAGAATCAGTTTTTTTATTCAAAAAGCAAAAAATTGCACTAAGAAAAAAATGTCGGTCATTTTAATACACTACAGGTACAGTAGAGAGCGCCCTCTAGCGGCTACAGTAAAACTATGCCCATGGTTCGTTTTGTCGTACCAAAAAAACCCTTGTATACCAATTTTCACTGTTATACATCAAATATTGTTCGAAATATTTAAAAAAAACTATTTTAGAAAGTAAATTCGGAAGCCACGCATTTTTCGACCCATGTTTATATAGACTTCATGCATTAATTTTAAAAGTTCTATCGAGTCTTAAAGTTATGCAACAGTAAACTGAAACACCCTGTATAAGGTAACGTTTTTCCGCATAGTTAGTATAGAAGGATCTGTCATCTCTTTTAATTCGATCTTAAGTTGTAGCAAAAGAAAGTCCAATAGCAGCGAGCTCATACCATTGTTCAAAGTCCATGATAGCTCGTGAAAACAGAACAATTCTCTCAAAAAATTACAATTAGAAGTTTGCAGAAAGTGTTAAGTATTTTTGAACGAATGATGTTACGCCCCACAAAGGTTTCAACTTATAGCTTGTATTTCAAATTTACTGTAAGGTATTTTCCGGTGAAAAGTTAATGTAGAAATCAACGTCTTTTGGCGCTTTTTTTGTAACAACAAATTAACCGTCACAGCAAATTGGACGTGTAAGGTCTTATATTAAAGGTATTTGCGTCTCCTGCAACTTTATATTGACCACTCACACCAATAAGTCATAAGTATTTGAATACACGCGAAAAAGTGATTTTTCCAATTTTGTCGTTTAATAAAAAAGCTTCCCAGAAAAACTTTTTGTTTCTCTCGAAGAGGTGGCTTTTCGGTTACATTAAAGTTGTAAAACAGGTTTTGTCAAAATAGTTTATTCAATTCATGTAAGAAACGAAATTTCGTCTACAGGGTGACCCAGAAGTCGGAAGCGGGGGATAGGCCAAGTCGTAATAATTATCAGAAAAATATAAACAATCTAAATCTTGTACTTTTCAAATTGTAGGCTTTAAAATAACGGAAAAATCTACACCCTGAGATGGTTTTTAAGTTCCCATTACTACAAATTTAAATTTTGAAGAACACGACTTAGATTTTAACTAGAATTAAGGTCCACCGGACTGCTCTGACAGAACAGTAGTACGACGATTTTTTTATATTTTTCTGAGACAACCCTTTTTCCGTTGTTATACTGTCTAAAACAAGGGGTAGTTAGCGTGGTTTATTCAATTTATGTAAGAAACGAAATTTCGTCCATATTTCAGTTGCCTAAAAGATTTTGAGATTATATATACAGAGAAATTTGAACATAACCTTGAAAAAAATGCCAACTGTCCCAGTCATTAATAGCACTTGCTTAGCTTTTAAAAACGTTCAAAGTAAAATATTCACTTACATTCCCCGTAGCTAAAAACAAAAAAAAAAGACCTCTGCAAAAACTGCTTACATCCGTAATCCACCCAAGAAAGAGCTTCGTTTTGGAACTGCAGGTACACGATAGCTCTTGAACATGCCTTCAATAGTATCTATACCTTGAACATTTTTTGACGTTAACCTAATGCGCGAGCTTCTTACAATTACTCCACGTATCGAAATGCCAGGAAAGTGTTTCGCTGTCCAAGAAAAACCGGCTATCTTGATTCTAAATCTGACAGTCCACTTACTGTTACTTACTACACGGAGTCGCTTTTGACGATCCTGGAACCTATTCCCAAGTGGCTCCTGACTGTACCATTCAACTGGCTGGAGTTTACGTACAAAAAGACCTTTTGCATGTCAAGTACGACGTAACTTCGTAAATACGGGGAATTAGGTACGTCCCTGCCTCTGATGTTCAGCATCCATGCTATCTCGTCTAAAGCTGTGACCACCATTGCGTCTGCACCAACTTTTCGTAGTTCGGATCGCACTTCTTCCACTTTGGTTGTGTAGTTCTTACCTGCAATACTTTAGGATATTTCAGAAGAATATCTACATCAAAATAATAATCTTTTTATTGGTTAACCAGTTTACTTGACTCCTGGGTATTCTAACAGCAACCATATACAGGGTGTCCCGAAAAAAGTGTGCGATATTCTACCAGCGGTGTCTAGAGCTTAAAATAGGAAGAAAAGTTTATATAAATATAGGTCGACAAACGTCCCGTAAGGGCGCTGCGGTCTTTTAAAGGGGCTCCACTGAAGATGGTTTTTCCTTAATATTTCCGAAACGTGTTGAGATAAAGACATACAATTTGGCATTCTAGCCTAGTTTTTTATGCTGGATTTAAAAATAATAACAATTTTAGACTGTTTTGTTTGGAAGCGTATGTAACAGGAACGGACTCAGGTTATTTAAGCCCCAAAATTTTTGTGTGATTCTATTTTTGAAATTCAATTTTAGAATTTGAAAATTTAGGGTTTTCTTCATAAAAAAGGTACTCTTATTGAATATCAATACATTGTGCCATTTTTGAATAAAGTCAAAGTAAAAAAATTGTCACATGATAGGAAATGTACTGCGAATTTAAAAGAATTGTTGAATAAAATTAGCGATGGCAACGAAAAAACTAATTTAATAATTGGTAAATAATACATAAATACATATTTCTATTGCAACATAGCTAACATTTGGGCAAAAACAAAAGATATAATTTTTTTCTACGAACGAAATTGAAATTTGTTTAAAAAAGAAGACATACAGTTGATATACTTAAAACTAGCTTTACAAGAAGTGTTCAGATAAATTCCCATTTTGTTGGATACAGAGTCTCGCTCGACGAACTAATGATTGCGTAGCCCGAAAAGTGGAAAACCTTTTTCTTATTATTTCATTTGCAGCCTGATGGGTTCTTTAGAGTAAATCTTCTTGAGTATTTACTTCTGTCGAGTAAACTAGGTCTTTAAATGAGCCCCAAAAATAGAAATCCAATGGATTTAGGTCAGGTGAACGTGGCGGCCACGCTATAGGACCTCCACGGCCTAACCACCTGTGTGGAAAATTGACATTCAAACCAATTTCGAACATTGTGTCCAAAATGTGCAGGGGCGCCATCATGTCGAAAAAACATATTTTCTTGAAACTGCTGACGCACATCCAATGGTATTATATCCATGAGCTCATTCTGAAGAAAGTTCAGATACACCTCTGAATTAAGACCATTGGGAAGTACAATAGGCCCAATTACTTGGTCCTCAATTACTCCTGCCCATAAGTTCAATGAAAATCTATGTTGGAAATTTGTACGGCGAACAACTTTTTGATTTTAATCTGACCAGTGATGCATGTTATGGAAATTAAAAAGCACCATTCCTAGTAAATATTGACTCATCCGACCATAATATTCTAGGAATAGTGTTTTTATTTGCTAATATCCACTGGGAAAACTCGATTCGTGGTAAAAAATCTGCCTCCGTTACATGCTGCACTCGTTTTAAATGATAAGGATGTAATCCTTGCATTCTTGTCAATCTACCTATCTAAAATTATTATTTTTATGATAACTATCAAATAGGTATTCATAAATTTTTCTTACTATTGATCGAGGTATATCCACAATTTCTGAAACATTTCGTATGCTTATTTGCGGATTATTTTCAAACATATTTAAAGCAATATCCATACGATGATTTCCCAGTGGCCTTCCTTAGCCTGCATGCGCTGAAAACTTCCATGGTTTGACAAATTCCGGTGAATATCAGTAAACATTCGACATCCAGTATTATGCGATTGGGAAATCTTCTTTGATATTCTCTTACGGCTGCCAATGAACTGCCCGTACACAAAATGCATGTCAGTCAATACTCTGACTGTAAATCTGGCATTTTAAAATCGATTTAATAAAAATTTTGATTTTAATCTAGTAATTTTACACTGCTAACAATGACAGCTTAACGACAAAATAGTCATAACAAATCAAAACAACTTTTGTTCGCAGTCATGCTAACTATGTATAATCAACAATTCATTTAAATTCGCAGTACATTTCTTATCATGTGACAAATTTTTTAGTTTGATTTTATTCAAAAATGTCACAATTTATCGATATTCAATAAGAGTACCCTCTTTATGTAGAAAACCCTAAATTTCTAAATTCTAAAATTTAATTTCAAAAATAGAATCACTCAAAAATTTTAGGGGCTAAAATAACCTGAGTCTGTCCCTGTTACATACGCTCCAAACAAAACTGTCTAACATTGTTTAATATTTTTAAATCCAGCATAAAAAACTAGGCTAGAATACCAAATGTTATGTCTTTAATCTCAACACGTTTCGGAAATATTAAGGAAAAACCATCTTCAGGGGAGCCCTTTAAAGACCGTAACGCCCTTAGGGGACGTTTTGTCGACCTATGTTTATGTAACTTTTCTTCCTATTTTAAGCTCTAGAAACCGCTGGTAGAATATTGCACACTTTTTCCAGGTATAAAGTTACGTAAACATAAAACATGTGGATACACACATACATTTTTACGAGTATCTAGTAATAAATGGAAGCAATTTTTAACTGTACACATTTTGTATGTGCCTATTTGGCATCAATATCCCTCTAACGTTTGATAAGTAGCACATCAGCTGCTGTCGCATTTTCTTGTTGTACGTTGGCAGAGATTTCTGTTTCATAGCATTTTTTTAGTTCTGTATCAGTTAATTCCATCAATTCATAACCATTAATCCACTCACCAACATCGCTTGGGTAAGATTTTCACACCCTGTATTTTTACGACGAGCTCATGTAAATTTTCGTTGTTATTCTCATGTCGCCAAGGATTTTTTTTATGTCGACCGTATAATTTTTTACTTGGCCATCTTGCTATCCAGTATTCCACATTCGTAGGTGAATCTCTTTTAAACAATCAACGAGGTTAACCATTATCAACTTGATCTAAAATTTCTCTTCAACGTCTGTAATACGTTTTAAATTTTCTAAAACTCCTTGATCCATTGGCAAAATCAGTGAGGTTACTTAGGAGGCAGAAACATCACTCGTATTTCTCCACTTTTAAATCGCTCCTCACTTGGGTGGCTCGGAGCATTGTCTAAAAGCAAAATACATTTTCTCGGTCATCCGCGTTCATTCTGCCCTTAAATAGAGCGGCATCCATCCAGGCATTTTTTTTGATTTTTATACACACTGGAAAAGCGTTAGGAAGGACGTTTAAATGCTTTTGGTTTAGCTGATTTTCCGATTAACAATAAAGGAAGTTTGTGTCTACCGGAAGCATTGCTACAAGCAAGGATAGTCACACGTTCTTTACTATGTTTGTAACCAGCAGCTTCAGATTCTTGTTTTGAAGCTAAACTTTTGACGGTAACATTTTATAGCTTAGGTCCGTTTCGTCGCAGTTGTCCACTTGCTCTGGATGTAAACCATACTGCTTTATTAATTCTTCAAAATGTTCTCCAAACTTTAATGCTGCGGACTTTTCTCCGCAAACTTTCAATTCTCGTATACCGTGTGGTTTTTTCCATCTATGCAGCCAACCATCACTGGCTGTAAAGTTATCAGACACCTCAATAACTGGCAATTCTTCACTTAAGTTGACTGCCTTTGCTTTAGAATTGGTCCGGAAATTGGTATTCCACGTTTCTCAATTCTGTGGTAAACCACAGATATAAAGCATCATCCACTTTTTGATATTCCCCTTTCATAGTTTTTCCGTGACGGCTGCGATGATGTCAGAACACTAGACCAGTTTTAATTTTCTCGGTTTGTTTTTTCCATTCTGAAATAATACTCACGCCCACACCCAAATCACTTGCCACGTTTTTAAGCAAATCAGCTCTATCTAAATGTCTGATTGCCTCACGTTTCTGTTCTATGGTAATAACAGTGCGTCTAAGTTTATTTCTAATGCTGCTCCATCTTAGCGATTATGAACCTGACTGAACCAAACATACACGCACACATACCAGTGAATTCGCCAAATGCGCTTGGGAATCACCGGCAGCAAATCTTATGATGCAAACGTCGAAAGGGAAAGCGATTTAGGATAATCGCGATTCGGATAAAATCGGGGTTCTTCTGTATATGGTTTGTTATACTTATTTTTTTGTTGTTTGACCAAAACTCAATTTAGTGTGTCTTTGTTCATGTGTGTCCGAGTTGTGATTAATGACACATATACAATTTAAATTTTTGGGCAAACAAATATAAATGAGTATAACAAACCATATAATATATTTGAAATCAGACAAAAAGTGACTATTTTATTCTCACTAAAACTAGCACTTTTCTGGTAAAAAAAAAAAAATACTGCACGAAACACTCTATAATAGTTTTTGACTAAAGTGAAATGAAAATAAGTATAATAAACCATATAAACCTGAGATCACAGGAAGACGACTATGATTTTCACTAAAATATACAGGGTTTTCCACTTAAAAAATACAACTTTTGTAGATAACCTTTTTTAGAAGGTTTATAAAAAAAGTTAAGTCAATTTATAGCGGGACAACCCCATACTATTAAAAAAAACATTCTCAGTATTTGCAACTTTGATAAAAACGCGTTTCATGAATAAATTGGATGGGTAGATCACGAGTTTCATGTCAGTTTGTTGCTGGGATCGATGTAGGCCTCAGAATGTCTATTTGTTTCTCCAATTTACATTGAGAAAACTCAGTGCTTAAAGGCATATTTAAGGGAATTCCCAAAAATCCTACGTATCTGCCCATAACCCGTAGGGTATTTAGGTAAAAACCTATACCAGAAATAACACGCCAGAGTGACACGGGACGTAGATTAGGTTCAGATCAATCAGGTAAAATCAACATGACCTTAGTAAAAGTTCTCTAGTTTTCGAGATATTGCCACTTTTAAGTTTTTTTGAAAAAATCCTACTTCTTGCTCCTTCCTTGCCTGTTAGGGCTATAAAGAACTTCTAACTTATGATTTTTGTTCCTCGCCGAGAAATTAGTAGTTGGTTGAGACAAGCGGGTATTCATTTCATTGAAAACTTGCACGGTATGCTAAAGCAAACTAAATTTACATTTGGTTTCAATGCGAAAAAAATACTAAAGTTGACTAATTACTGTGAAAAAATGTACCAGACTGAATCAGCAAAATACATTAAAACTAGCTATTAATGCTCTTTCAAAAGTAGTAATACATTTGTAGGTTCTTTTTACTAAAACCTGAATATTCCAACTTTGTCATTGAAGTCGTAATACTTGCGAAATACTACAAATAAAAAATAGTATTTTTCTTATACACAACCTGCATATTCTTAAAAATTGTCCTTTTAAACGTCCCAAACTTAAATCGGATATTTTGGGTGCTGCTTGACGGATTCGATTACGCAGTTCTTCGGCTGATAGATCTGGTTTCCCATAGACCTTATCTTTAAACATCTCCAGTAAAAAAAATCGAGACGGTTCAGGTCTGAAGAGCGTTGGGCCACAAAATTCGTTCTAGCGAGCTAATCCATCTTCTAGGGAATGTTTCATCAAGGTGCCCCTCTGCATTAGCATAGTGGGCAGGGCACTCATCATTCTGTAATCACATCCTTCTTGTCTCAAGAGGCACATCTTCCAAACGAATGGGTAGATGATGTTGCAAAAAATCTAAGTTAATTTAAGTTTTCAAGATCATTTGTCGATTCAGTCTGGTACATTTTTTTTCACAGTAATTAGTCAAACTTTAGTAAAGGTTTTCACATTGAAAACAAAATGCATTTTTTAGCATCCCGACCTAGTATTCAATGAAATGAATACTCGGTTGTCTTAACCAACTATTAATGATAGCCCAGGAAACAAAAACATCATCTTGAAGTTCTTTATAGCCATAACAGGCAAAAAAGGAGCAAAAAGTATTGATTTTTGAAAAAGCTTAAAAGTGGCAATATCTCGAAAACTAGAGAACTTTTACTAAGGTCATTTTGATTCTATCTGATTGGGCTGCAGCAAGTCTACCTCCCGTGTCACTCTGGCGTGTTATTTCTGGAGACCCTGTATAATGTAAAAAAGTACTTGGGTAAATCGGGTGCGTAGATCATTAATCTAATGTCTGTTCCCCGCAGGGATTGTTGGGAAGACAGTAAATCAACGATCCAAATTACCTCACTATACAGAGTTTTATTTACCTGTAGTTATGGAGGATGCACATTGAAATTTTGTTTTGTAACAGATTGAGGTTTAAATCGATATCTATATATACGAAACGCTTGTACGTTATACATTTATATGTGAATGTCTGTCTAGTAAGTTAGCATCACGTCTGAACTACAGTACAGAGATACGTAAAAACATTTAATAAATAAAACTCCAGAAAGGGTATAGGTATTGTTTGAATGAACGAGCTATCCACTACTTCCACGCGAGCGGAACTGCAGGTTTCGACTAGTACATTTTATCTATTGATAAACATTTCTTAAAATTCTTGAATAGCTGTCCAGTAAATACATATAGTCACAGTAAAGTAATACATAGTTTACATGAAAATTGTTGAATTCCTCCACTATTCGATCAGTATTTTGCCGTTTTCATTCACACGCCTGAGCTAGAATTACCGCTCTGGCCTGTAATTGGAGACTGCCATGTCAACTGCAAGCAGTAGAACCGCGAAGTGGGCGTATGTGTACTTGAAATTTAAAAACAAAAATTCATTTTCTGTCATTAATCAATGTTTCAATTCTATTTTTCAGAAACACGGTCGTCAGCGCACAGCAAACTCCGCAACGGTGGGGCGGCTGGCAATTCCACAACCACAGGCAGCGTGGGCGGTGCAAAGGGGCGGCGAAACGGCAACGCGAACAGCGGCTCTGGGGCGGTCAGTGGCGGGGGCGGCACTGCTCCCGCTTCACCTACAGGCACGTTCGTGCCGCCCAGGCCGGATAACAAAAGGAAACAGCGGTCGGGAGAGGAAGAGAGTAATACTGGAAATAATGGCAATGGTAGCGCGCAGACGCAACAGAATGCTACGCCACATGGTAAGATTTATACTCTTAATTTTTATTTACTTCATATATACAGGGTGTTCCATACTTGAATGAACATAAAAAATTCTAAATTTTTTGATATCACATGTCTCAGTATTATTGAACCAATTTTGTTCAAATTTGGCACGATCACAAAGTTGTCTAGAGATATCATAAAACTAGACTGACGGTTAAAAAATCCAGGACAGTCACACTTTTTTTCCACTATTTATTGTTTTTTATCAAATTACACACCTTTTAAGCTGAATATTGAAAATCTTTACTATGTACTAGTGGATGGAGTCAATTAATCAGCAAAAATTGATTGCACCACTTTTAGTTTTCTAGTTATTTTTTTATGTAGTAGTTTATGTGCCACAAAAGTCAAAATTTCAAGGGTTATTAATTTAGTTACATCATTGTTTATTTTTGGAAACTCAAAATTTCAGGATGCCTGTAATTTATACTCTGAATTTATTATTATTATTTCGCAGAACAAAGAGCAATACATGATATAAATAAGAGAGAAAATTAATGTTTTGCATCCTATTTACTTTTTTCGTTAAAAACCAACTGATATTATACAACAACATAGGTTCTTCTCAAAAGGGAAATGGCATTCAATGTGCACGACCAACTTAAAATTAAGTTAAAATCCACAAACACATCGTATGCAAGTCCGGACTTGACATTTAATTGTTTGATGTACTCTGTGTGTAATAGGGAGTCCTGACCTGTACGTTAGGTTTTTATACATTTTCACCGTAATCTTGAATTTGTCTAGAGAGTCAAATTCGGTCCATGTGACAAATAACTGTGCTTTCCCTTTAAAGCAGGACTTATGTTGTATAACAACCCAGGCTGTGGCCTTAAAAAACTGTTGTAAGTGATCCGGGAAAGCTTGCAAACAGTCTTCCGAATATGCCTCGGGCCCCAAGCACGGCTTCAGGGGCCCCATAAACGAGAAATTTGAATTTTGATTTTTGATCTTCTAAGAAAATATTTCTCGCTTCCTATTCAGCAATAACGTTTACGCTTATGACTTCCTTGTTTATGAATCGTTTTGAAATGGAGCAAGTGTAGGGGAAATCGACCTAGTTAACTGAGGTGTTTTTTGCTTAGTTAGAATATTAATAGTATATATAAGTGTTTTCAGTTGTTTTTATGAAGGAGACGTGATAAACTCGGCTTCTCAAGGTGATAATTTGCGTCAAAGTTGGGATGTAATAACTAATACATTCTAGCGCCTTGTTCTTACCGTGTGTCTATACTTTTGCTTTGAAGGTTTGGCTTCCATCACGTGTGAGGAAAGTAACTTTTACTCTCGAACGTTGATAATCTTACATGAAATATATGGCCAGGTTCTGAGTAGAAATTAAATCCTACCGGCTGATTCATTCGCCGAGAAATACAAGGATTCAAATCAGTTCTCTTTCATTGTAAGAATCCCAAATACGTTCTCTTCACGTCAAGAATACCCGACTTTTAATAGTGACATATTTGTTTTACTGCAATGCTGCAGAGGTTAGAGTACTTCTTAAATTGTATGTCCTGACCATAATGAGGGAAATACAGATTGTCAAAGACGTCAAATCATCCTAAAAAGTTTCACTGCTTCATTCCTTTTAAATAAAGTATGCCAAACTATTTAGGTTCCTAGGTCCCATGATCAGATTTCTGTAATGGTAACATCTTTCTGATGCTGGATCAACCTTTGGGATACCATCTACTTCTATGCAAGAAATTCTTATGGATTAAATATAATTTTGTTTTTCAGGTGCTACCCCTTCAGGTGCAACCGTAAGCCAAGCAGCGAAAAAGCGAAGTCCTCCACACCCACGGTAGTGGTGACAACGACGCCAAGTCACAGTCCTCCACCCTCTCCGGTGCTACTAGAGTGTCCGGAACCGAACTGTTCCAAGAAGTACAAACATATCAACGGGCTGAAGTACCATCAGTCGCACGCTCACGGCAGCATCACGGCAGTCTCTGCAGGTACTGCTGTGCCGGATGATATCGATATGGATACTAAGGTACGACCTATTTCTTTTTGCTCACTAGTTTTACTTGTCCCGTCTATAACTTGGAGAGTACCACTCGGATTTTTATGAATTTTTTACATAAGGTTACTACTATCCCAAGGACGAACAAGCTTTGTACCTTTTTAAAAATCGGTCCGGTGGTGACGAGAGGCTCTAAATATTCAGGTGTGAAATAAAGAATATACGCTCACCAGTCTTCTGAGAATATGAAGATTTTTTGTGGAATGCATAATCTCATCTATTTTTAGTACCTTTCCCTCAAGCAAATAATATCAGGGTGTACGAATGTTGTTCTAGATTATTTAAAAAAAAATCTCAATACTTTTTCTCCAATCATTTTCATTTTCATTATATATTATAAAGTTTATTCAAATACAAGACAAGTGTGGCTCGCGACCCCCTGACAAGGGGGGTCTCCGGAAATTTCCAAAATAAGATAAAAACACCACTTTGTCAAAGCATTTATTTTTATTTTAAAACCGCCGTATTTTTATTTTGAAACCGCCGTATTTTTATTTTATATATATATATATATATATATATATATATATATATATATATATATCCCAACTAACAATTATCACTCCTATTAGAGTTGCAAGAATGATTATACAGTATTCCTTAAACAGCATTGTATACTGTAAGAACATTAGCAAAACCCTCTTAGAACAGCTATACAAGCGGAATGGGCACACCTAATAGGACACTTCAGTCATTTAAGAGGTTGTATAAGGGCTGCAGGTAACAGTTATAAAACAAAAGTGTAAGCCTCTTGCAGCCGCTATAGGACATTTGCGTCAGTGCAAGATTCAGTTTTTGTCAACTATACAACTATTCTCTTACGTGATTCTACTTTATTGCAATGTATTGTATAGACGATGTGAAGAATATATAACTAACACATTACAGTCATCTTGTTTACTTACATATCGGCCATTGTGAATTTCATACACAGGTATATGATAAACTTCTAGACGTTTGATATAGGGCTATTGAATTACTTGCGCAGCAAATTTTATTGTCATTATCGTGCACATTAGTTACCCAATTTCTATGGGCTTCGTATTTGATTCATATTTTGACAATGATCAAAAGTATGTCTAGATTTTTAAGATGGAAAACTGAACTTATCTGCGTTAAATCTTCCACAAATCCTATATTTAGACACAATTGCACTAATGTTTATCACTTTATATCTGTAATTTCGAACTGAAACATAATTATTTAATATTAAATAGAGGAATAAATGTTTGCCCAATATGGCGGGTGGTTGTGTACAATCATGGCATCGTCCATGTTGTCTTTAGGTTATTAGAATATTTACCCAGAATTTGTACCAGATCTATATCTTCTGTTTGAACAGTTGATAAAACCTTTTGACCGATATGCATGCGTTGTTTGTCTTAAAACATTGGTTATGGCATTTTAACAAAAATATGACAGCAGAAAGTTAGGTTATGGTGAAGTTGTTTACCAACATATTTAGCATATGTAACAGTTGTATAACTGCTTCCGTTGGAAGCAATTTGTTGTCTAATGTAGTAAATTGCACAGCAAAGCAACAAGGCTCGGGTTTGTTTTATAAACGTTAGCATGGGTGCCACAACACAACCATTTTGACTAACTTGCAAATATGCCGTATAAACTAGTTGTATAAACGTTTATGCAACAGTTAAAAATTTGCCCTATAAGGTGTTGTATAACTATGCTACAAGAATATTTTAAACACCTCATTTTAGAGCAAATATGTTGCAGAAAGCAAATTTGCATTCCACACAACATTAAGCCAGCATTTTGGTGTTCAGGCAACAACAATAGAGAGATTTTATGGCTGAACGGTTCTTTTACCAAAAGCTTATACCACTACTTTGCTAGTTGGGATATATATATATATATATATATATATATATATATAAAAATTAGCGACTAATTATCAAACGAAACATAAAACTTAATATGAATAGGTCTAGTGGAACAAATTGCAATTGTTAAAATAATCGTTGTGATTTTTTAATATAACTAGTTTAAACGTAAACAGTGAACTAATATAAAATTTGGAAAATTGTTATTGTACGAGGGATGTCTTTTAAGTTTTGCATATAGAAACATAGTAGGCCGCGCGGATCGAACGTCATTACTGAATCTTAACCTCACTCTTTAGTAAACTTAAATTCAAAGTTTCACAACAATACGTGCAGTGTTCTCACTACAGTGAATTTTTAAGTGTCACCAAGTCATTAGAAAAATGGAACTCAACCGAGAACATTTTCGCGCCATAATTACAACTTTCAGAGACAATTATCTTAACAAGAATGCCTTGCTGAGTTGCTGTCTCTTTTCGGCAACGAAGCGCCACATCAGTCGACAATTTCCCGTTGGTATGGAGAATTCAAACGTGGACGGGTGAGTCTTAGCGACGATCCCAGGCTGGGTGCACAAAAAACGGCAGTCACCCAGGAAAACGTCGATGGTGTGCGCAAACTCATCATTGAAGATAGACATGTGACATATCGCGAGATTGAGGCGTCCTTGAAGATCTCAAAGATCTCAATTTAAAAAAAATCATATGAAGAACTAGGAGTAAGAAAATTAGTTTCTCGTTGGATACCCCACCTGTTGACTGAAGAGCAGAAAGCAGCCAGGGTTAATTGGTGTCAAAAAACGTTTGACCTTTCAATTCTGGAAACTCAAAAAATGTGTACAGCATTGTTAGTGGTGATAAATCGTGGATTTACTGTTATGAACCAGAAAATAAACGACCGTCGGCTGTTTGGGTGTCCCAAGGTGAAGAAAAGCCAACACAAGTCATCCGTTCTAGAAGTGTTTCGAAAAACATGGTTGCGACATTTGTGTCAAAAGCGGGTCATATTGCAACAATTCCTCTTAATGAGCAAAGAACTGTTAATGCGGATTGGTATAGCACCATTTGTTTGCCAAAAGTCATCACCGAGCTTCGAAAATCAACCCGGAAAGAAGAATCATCCTCCACCAAGACAATGCAAGCTCGCACACAGCTCAAAAAAGGCAGTATTTAACGGAAGTAAACGTGGAATTATTGTACCATCCTCCATATACCTGTAGTCCCGATCTAAGTCCTAACGATTTCTTTGCTTTCCCGAAAATTAAAAATACTCTGCGTGGTCAAAGGTTCCAGTCACCAGAAGAAGCAGTTGACGCATTCAAAAATGCCGTTTTGGATCTGCCAGCAAACGAGTGGAATAAGTGCTTCGAAAATTGGTTCGAGCGCATGACATGTGTATTAATCTTCGTGGAGAATACTTCGAACGAGTCATTTAAAACTACTTACCGTGTTGTTTTATTTCCATATGCAAAACTTAAAAGACATCCCTCGTAGACTCATATTAGGCGCGCTGTTTTTTGTCATATTTTTGTTTGGGTTATGAGTAGGGGTAAATAGGGGATCGTGAACAATGTTTTTAACAAAGAGGAGTCTCGCTTAAAATGGGTGGGAAACACTGTTTTACATCATGCGTATCCAAAGCCCATAATTTCATTTTTTGCCAAATGAACAATACTATGATTTTCATATCCGGCAAACAATAAAGATACAAAATGCATAAGTCCAGAATTGCGTGCGAAGTCCATAAACAATCTACTTAACTAAATATTTGTGGGGATAATCAAAAATAGCGATGCTAGATCAAGTACAAGGACAAATCTAAAGTTCTATACCCACTGTATGCTAAGGCACTACTCGTGGCACAATAGCACTTTTCTTTTGGTGAAGTTTGTATGGAAAAAGTAGATATCACGATTATAGATCACATCTACGGTACCAGTTGATGACAGGACAATGCTATACGCGGTAGCGTTTTAAGATTCGTGTGAAGAAAGAATGCAAAATATCGATGGCTTGTCCTAGCTTCTACCCTTACTGTAGGCAATTATAGAATTCGCTGTATGATCTAAACCTTCCATTTGAAAAAAAATTTCGCGTGAAAAAATAAATGTCGAATCCTTATTTAGTGGTAAGATAATACTCCAAAGTATTATATAAGGTACTGTCCGCATTGGATGCCAGACTAACCATCGTGGCACGACACTGCTTTTTGGTTTTAACAAAAGGACATAATATTACTGGATATCATTTTTTTGTCGGATAAGTTCATGTAGGAAAATCACGTTCATAGATCAAGTTCAAGACAGTAAACATTTTTGCATATCTTCAATATCAAACAAAATCCTAGAAAAATCAGGCCTGTCCTCTCCAAATTCGATAAATGACCTTGAAAAGGCTCATCGCCCAAATAATTCTTCGCGAATAACATATTAATGAAATACCACGTTCAATATTTTCATCTGGACCTCATTGTTTGACTCCATTATTTCATAAGGTCATTCTGTTTCAGGACATTTCGGAGAACGACGAATCGAACATCGAAGCTCCATCGCCAGCCACTCCTGTCAAATCCCCGGAGAAACCAGTAGCAACAGACAGCCCCACCTCCATCCCTGTTGCTACTAAGAAAGACCCCGCCCCCACGGAGGCGGTCAGCCAACCAAGCACTCCACCATCTCCAGCAGCTACACCCCAGGAAGTAGTTCCAGGAATGCCCGCCTCACCTGCGGGTACGCAGCAGGACAAGGGGCAGCAGGTGGCGGTCCCAGGGGCCACGGCCGCTGCGACACAGCAACAGGTAGTCAAGCCGGGTGTGTTGAGGTATACGCCGACTCAAGGACAACCGCAACAGCAGGATGAATATGGTATAGGGGTGTTTTCGCCGCCACAGGGAAAACCTCAAGTGACAGGTAATTTTTGTAATAGGGTATAAAATAAGCATTCCGAGGAAAAACGAAAATAAAACAAAGAGTAGTTATATCAAGAGAAGACACTTCGTGGAATGTATAATCCGCCGGTTACAGTTTCTTTTTATGGTTGGCTAAAAATTAACTACATTTTGCCAAAGTAAATTATCTCAACGTTTTTCTTATTTAGAATAATAATTTTATAGCCGTTCAGAAAAACATCGAGTTTCATTTTTATAACAAACCACTTCTCAGTCTAATAATTTTAAGGTAGAAAATCGTACTCTGGTGTAAACATTTGTCTACGGCCCACTGCCCGATTCTGTGAATAGTTTACGCGCTGTGTTGCTGATTCAAGGGTGGTGGGGTAGTTTTTATTAGAGATCGGCCGCCCTTGGTGGTTTTTATTGTCGGAGCCTTTTTCTTACCCATTTGGGGATTTAACCGTGCAGATAGTTACTCTCAACCATAGAGCGTGGGGGAACCGCCTACAGGGTTAGTCCAAGGCGAGTTTGAGTGGGACTTACGCCTGGGAGGAGCAGTTCCCCCATTTTTGGAGAATCCTCATTGTTAGAGGGTTCTACCCTGCAGTTCCACCCTCCAGTTTTACCCTCCAGGTTTAGGGGAACACGTGGGACTTCCCACCAACGGTTGCCGTACGGAGATATGTTTTTTTTATTTTAGTTTTTTTTATTTTAATTTTTTTTCTGTTCAATAAAAAATGTCTGTGTACCTAGTGAGTTGGTATCTTTTTTTAACGTCAGAATCCCAACAGTGATACTTGTTATAAATTCCATTTTCTAGTTTTTGGAAACTAGGTGGCTCCCAAATAATCATTGCATCCGAAACCAAAATACAAAGGAGGGGGCTCATAGCTTCTAACTGAGCACACAGTTTATAGGGATAACACTGGCGACCAACGTAGGGACCGCAAATTTTTGGTTCATCGCGTACTGGTGTGATACGATAAAAAATACTTAAATCTCACCTGCAGCAAACTTGGCAAGTTTGCTGTTTAGCATTAAAATACGTAAGATTTTACTAGTTTTTAACATATGAGTACGCCAAAAAGTGACCAAAACTCATCAGTCGGCTTTTGGCTTATTACTGGTTCACAGAAAACGACGATCTATGAGCGGGCGGTCCTTGTTTTGGAGATTCTCTCATAGATAAATACTATTAAGTACGAAAAACTTGAACGAGAACTTGCTGGCTGCTATTGGAATTTTGGTGAGAATATGAAAAAAATATATGACAACATACAAAGTGATTTGCTCGACAAAAAATACACCCTGGTATAACAAGAATATTAAGGCAGCTTAAAATTTGAGAGACAAACAATACAATAAATGTATATTCACAAAATCAAATGACGTTTGGGAGGTATATAAAACTCTTAGGAATAAATGTGTATATGTAATTAGAGAAGAAAAAAGGAAATTCTACGATAAACAAATCGATAATAACAAGTGCGACAGTGTAAAGATGTGGAAGACTTTAAAAAGACTGATCAATTCGAAGCCGCATGATTGTGTAAATCAAGTTCAATTCGAAAACGGTACCGAAACAAATTCTTTGGGGATTGCAAACAAACTCAATGAATATTTTGTGGAAAGTATTGTTGATATTATGGGTACTGCCAATGCTGCACCTGACTATATGAAAATCAGTTTCCAGGGGGAAATGTTGCATACACTTTCAAAATTTCACAGCGTATCATTGAATTATCTAAGAAAAAAGTAAACAGTTAAAATCAAATAACAACTGTGCCGAAATGACTACTAAAAACGTGCTGAAAAACTGTTTCGAAATTTTGGGATATCCTGTATTAAATTGGATCAATTGTTCACTGAGAAGCAGTTCTTTTCCTGAAAATTTGTAAATGCTCTACAATAACACCAGTTCCCAAAATAAAAAATTCTAAAAGATGCAGCGATATGACACCAGTAAATGTGTTACCAGACATTGAAAAATTATTAGAGTCCATAGTGCATGACCAATTAATGCAGTTTATAGAAGAAAACAAAATTTTAGTGGAGGCGCAAGCAGGCTTTCGAAAAAAATATTCCACAGAAACAGCTTTCCAGTTGGTAACTGAGAATTGGAGAAGAGCCATAGACTCAGAAGAAGTTGTCATAGCAGTATTTTTGGATTTGAAGAGGCCATTTGAAACGAGTGATAGAGATATTTTGTTAGGTAAATTGAAGGCATATGGTATAACAGGAAGTGTTTTAGATTGGTTTAGAAATTATTTGTCTAAAAGGATGCAAGTTACAAAAGTTAATGACACTATTTCATCAAAAATTGAAAATACGTTGGGTGTTCCACAGGGCAGTATCCTGGGACCACTTCTTTTTATTTTATACATAAATGATTTACCTGCCATAGTCAAAAAATGCAAAATTCAGATTTTCGCCGATGACACTATGATTTATATAAGTAGTACTAAAAATATGCAGTCTGGTATCTCTTATATAAATGAAGACTTGAAGCTTGTCTCAAAATGGTTAGCATCTAACAGACTAAAATTAAATGCAAGTAAAACGAAAGCCTTGTTAATCGGAAAAAAACAATGTACAAATGTTCAACTGAATAGTGATGGTGAAGATATTGAATTCGTAGAAAATTTTAAATACCTGGGGGTTTTTGTTGACTCTCGATTAATTTTTGATATTCATTATGAAAAAGTTATAAATAAGATTAGTAGTAAAGTGGGATATTTATCGAGAGTTTCTGGATGTCTGAGTTCATATAGCAGAAAAATTATCTATAATACCATCATTCTTCCAAATTTCTTGTACTGTTCGACTATTCTATATTTAGCAAATAATTCCATTTTTGAAAGAGTGCAAATTTTACAAAATAAGTGCATGAGAATAATACTAAATAAAGATAAATATACTTCAATTAGGCAAATGCTTAGCAAATTAAAATGGCTCAATGTAAAGAATTTTATCAAATATCTTGTAATGATATTCATTTATAAAGTAAAAAATAATATATTTCCATCAAGTCTTACTAATTTAACATCATCAAATGTCGTCCATCATTTACATAATACCAGAAATAAAGATGACTTCCATTTAATGACCAAAAAGTATAACATATGCTACAAATCTGTATTCCATCAAGGGTTGATTGAATATAATAAATTATACTCGGAGATAAAAGACCAGAAAACTTTGGCGAAATTTAAAGCAAAATTGAGAAATCACTTGTTAAATCTACAATTATAGGTTGCCCAACATTTACATCATACACCATATGGCTTGAATTTACTAGTTCTAAGTTGTTTACAATTATTCTGTTTATGTAGCCAAATGTGCTAAATAAATCTTTCTACTACTACTACTACTAGATGGTTCGACATTATGCCAAGGATCTGCGCGTTTCGCTCAAGTAATATGAAATAAAAAAACATATGGTCTTGAGGCTAGATAGCAGATACAATGACGATTTCAGCTGATATTCCTCGTTTGTTAGTAAACTAAATCGTGTAATGTTCCACGTAGGACGCTAAAAGTTAAATAGCAGCGAGCACTCGCGAAAAGCGTTATTTATAAGTTTATCGAATGAAACATATATGTCTTAGGCCGCAAACGGGTGATAAATATCCCCACTCTGTATGAAAAAGGTTTATCTGTCTGGCAACACTGCGTTTTTCTCTGACCAAATAACAACAGCACAAGTTTAGATATCATCAGCTGTTTTGTGGACTCCATTTTTTGGTTTACATGTTTTATCTCTATTTAATGTATTCGCATTGTCAGTATTCTATTGGTATAACTACTCTTTGATTAAACACTTCATAAGAACCTAGTCATGTGTTGCTTGAACCCTTAATGATGTACAGTTGAATCATTTAGCAGTATTATTTGTCTGTGCTAGGCCAAACTTGAAAAAGTTGTTTGTTTTGAACCAAAATTCAAAATGTTGCTATGCATTTTCAGAAACGTCTGCTCAAAATACCAAAAAATCAGCTTCATGATGTTATATTTTAGGAAAGAGAATGCAGATTATTCTTTGAATTATTTGAATCTAGAGAGTTGAAAACGGTTTTAATGCATGTTTGGAAACATCGGCCCATAGTACCTAGAAATCACTTAATTTGAAGATGTTATCAGTTTCTTCAAGAATCTTATATTCTGAGACAAAATTAAAAACGTAGCAAAATGCATTTTCGGGAATTTAGGCTCAACACGCCCAATAATTACCTAGTTTGGATATAGACCTCCATGGTTTTTTGGCCAAGTGAAATCACATATGTGTAAATTACTTTTTACTAATGTTGTGGACTTCACCATAGTGGCAGTAAAATTTAACTTATACGTATATATTCGGTTTCATTCGGTCAGAAAATCATGGAAGTCTATCAGCATGACAACCATAGGGTAAGTTTCAGGTGTTACATTGTTCGGAGAAAAACGTTGCTAAGTATTTTCTGCTCAAATTTCCCAATATTCGGGTAGATGGATAGAAAATGATGCTGGTTTTTGTTAATATATGTATTATTTTTCAGTTAATTGTAATTTTCAATCAAAATTGAAAACTCTCCGTTCAGTTTTCAAGAACATCGACTGCAAACAGCGATGAAACTTTATTCAGTTATTTGTTGTTTTGAGCAAAAATACCGCAATACATTTTCTGAAACGTCGCGACGGTTCTCATGAATCAGTTAAATGCATGCCTCAAGTTTTTTTGATAACGAGCGTTGTTCTCCAACTTTTTGTTGTTTTTGCAGGTGCCCCTCCATTGGGCCCAGTCGCCGTAGGCGTAGGCCTAGGAGGACCCGGCGTTCGCGTCAACCCTCTCCAAGAACAACCAGTTCTTCTCTCCGACCAACCCTCTCCACAGCAACCGCCCCCACCAGTCTCATTCGCCGGACAACTGCCACAGTCTCAAGGTGGCCCGGTACCGCCTCAACAGCAGCAGTTCGCGCAACCGCCGTCGATCATCATCCCCGGAGGCGGTACGACGCTGCAACAGCCGCCCCCAGTGTCGCCACATCCTCCACAAAGTCCCAAGGTGCTGCCTCAGAGTCCGCAGAGCGCGCAACAGCAGTTCAAGGTCAAGCCTGCGTCAGCGCTTATGCCAGATGACAAGAAGGTAAGATGTCAATATGGCATTTTCAAGTGGCATACTTTCTGGAAGGTTAGGAAAACAAAAGGCCAAAGATAGTCAGAGATTGTTAGAAGAAACCTCAGATCAGTCGAGAAGTAAAGGAAAACATTGTTAGGCAAATATATGACATTGACAGTGGTTAGAGTTAATTTTGCTCAGTTATAACTATAAGTCTTTTCACGATTTTTGACGGTTCACAGTAAGACTACAAGAATCACTTTCATATATTCATCTCCCTCACACATACATACGGACGTTTCTTTATGTAAATTCAAAGACATACGTTTTGTCTCACCGCCATGAACATTTTCTCGTCAACATATGAGTTTTCCACATTTATGAATGTCACTGTCAGTATGACAACTTGCTTGTCATGTGCGCGTAGTTTGTATTTACCTAAGTTGATCTCCGATATATACTCACTCAGTTCATATATGTGCAGGAGCGAGTAGCAGCTGAGTTTCAGATCGGCTTAAGCAGCGTGCAATTTCCCTTATACTATATATCAGTAAAAAAACGCGTTTGTCCATTTTATAGCATCATGCCTGAACCAGAAAGCAGAGAGACGTAAAAATAATGGTCACTTACCGGAAGGTTATCGGCATGGTTTGATCCGCGAACTTTTCGTCGATATCGCAATCAACCGGCAACAGATACAGACGTTTTATTTTGAACTAGTTGCTACCGGTGACTTCCTACGCTTGAAGTTCTTACTAACATAAAACATTTTTTTATGTTATGCTATAAACTTCTGATCACGTTTTCTATCTTTGATGGCATTGGTAAATTTGGTTAATTTATTACACGTTCCGCGGGGTAGAAACCTAGTCTTGAAGAAGAACATACAAGTACCAAATATTTCGATATCGCAGTAACGAAAAGGCACGCAAAAAGTAATTAGGACAGGTATTATTAAATCTTGAAACTTGGACTAGATATCAAGACCTTACTTCTTTAAATATCAAAATATAGTAATTATATTCATCAAAGCTCAAAAACGAATTGTCATCATCGTGTTTAATATCTACAGTGACGTTATTGTTTGTACGTCGGCGGCGCATTCCTTCTGGTAGTTTGAATAGTTAAATAACACCACAAACCATTTTATTATCACGGGCCCCTATTTAAAGGGCGTTCACGTATGTCTCAGTCAACGATGTGAACAGTGTGCTTGAATTGATGTTTTTATTTACATTGTCCAACTTGGCTGGGCATTATAGTCATCGAACGGCTAATAACATTATTATCCGGTTTTTCGTTTTCGCTCTTAACATGTATTGTACTCGTATGATTAGTTTTAAGAAGTTAATTTGTGTTTTGCCATTTAATTCACACATTGAATAGCCCAGTGACAGCACGAGGTCTGTAAAAATTCATTAAAATTGTTACAAAGTGTACTTTGCACTACTCTGTAATAATTTTAGCGGTCGGAATTGTTTGCCGTATCTGTTACAAGCGTTCGCAAATAGAACAAAGCAATCCTTCTGGAACGTCAAAAGTGCGTTTTTCTTCACTCAAAATCTTGGAAATAAAAGTGTTATCACTTCTCAGTCTCTTGGTGTACTGTTTGGTTATCAAAAAATGCTCAAAATTGGCAGATAGAAATATATTTTTCAGGATAAATGGGCTTCCTCGTATCCATAGCTTCTCTTATAATAAATACAATGTCTAACGTGGTTTGGTTAGAAATTAGTTGGTTGTCATCAAGTGTCATTGCAAGACTGTGTAATAATTTATGTGTTCTAAAAATAAAATTTCACAGTATTCGAGAGTAAAAATTTATCTGCCAATCTACATTCTATTACTGTGTGCGGTATTACATTACCAAGTGATTTTTTCTGACTGCAAGTAATAAATAATAATAACTATGTACTGTTATTAAAAACTCTGTTTTTGTGTCCTTCTAGGAATACACGAGTGTATTTATATGATGTTGTTAGCATATATGAAAGAATAACAAAAATATTTCTTGCAGTCACAACAGCAGCAGCAACAGCAAATCAGCAATAAGGGTCAACCTCAGTCGCCTTTCGCTAAGAAAAAAGCGAGAAAAAGTCCAGCCGGAAGTCCAAATCCTGCGCTTGCACCCACGGATCAACCTTTATATGGTTCTGATCAACCTGCAGGTCGAGAAGAGGTAACTTTTGAAATATGTTCATACCATCACAGAACCAAAATAGCTATAAATGAAATGCGATGAACTCTTGTGAGAAAAATTATAGTTTTTTGTGTTCTTTCAACATTTTTGAGGAAAAAAAAGGTGGAAATGATCCCATGGTCCCATGGCTGGCAGACATTATTTATTTTCTGAAAGACAAAACGTAGGGCATTGAGTAGCTTTTAGATGTACTTTGAAGGAGCACATTCCTGCTAAGTTGGGTAGACGGTCCTTTTACCGATACCAGGCGTGAAAGGAAGTTGAAATAGGATTAACTCAAATTCTGATTGTCAATCTTTATATACAGGGTGCTTCCAAAGTCACTTATCGTAACAGCTTGTAGAACTCGTCCAAAGAAGTTGTTGCATCAAAAATCACCTATATAAAAGTTGCATAATAAAAGACTTAGTTTACATGATTAAATACTCGGTGCAGGCTTTGGCGCGGTGAGCTGGAGCGCTGTCATGGTGGAAGTACCAAGTGTCCTTTCTTGACTTTGGCAGCAGGTAACAAATCGGTATTTTCTGACAACTACGGGTGTGTCCTCATCATCAAAGACCGAAACTTTGCTTTGTGCCTTAGTCGGCACATCGTAATAATTCTGCCAAGTCTCATCATCTGTCGCGATGCTCTACACAGATTGTCTACCGAGATTGCCCTTTATCGAACATTTTCAGCATCTTTCAGCACCAAGGCGTACGACGAATCTTCTGCTCTTTCGTCAGACTATGCGGTACCCAGAGAGAACAAAGTTTCCTTACGTGTAAATGGTCATGCAGAATTGAATGAATTGCTGGTGCATGAAGGTGAAAGGTTTCCTCTATATTATGTTGGTATGTCACTTTCCAGTCTTCGTCCAGCAGTAATGTTTTCCTCTTTTACTGACGTTCGCGGCATTCCTTCCCTCTCAGCGACCTCCAGAGTGAAATTGCCGCTCTAGAATCCTCTGTACCACCTGAATTTAGTCGTACGATGAGGATAGTCATTCTTTCATGCAAGCGTTCTTTCTTCTAAGCACTGGTCTATACTTAAACCACTCGTAAAATTATACCGTGAAACTGCCCTTCTCTCGCTACGTGACCACGATGCCATAGTCCGCACTTTTCACTACCAATACGAATGAACAACTAAGTGAACAGATGTGCTGCTGGCGGCTACTATGCACTCAACACTCGTGGACATGTCTCACAACAGGCAGTAACATGTAGCCTCCTGCGTCCGTTTGTTAAGTCATATTTTTTACATTTACAACTCATCGAACCAAAGACTTGTACTGAAAACCTTACAATAACACAAAATGTTTGCCAAATTTAGGTAAACGTTGAGAGTAGTACACAAAAAACGCTAAGATTTTAAACGGCAGTGGTCGAGAATATCAAAAAATCTGTGTAACAACATTCTTACTTTTTAAAGTGTTTGATCTTTTGCTATTTCTTTTATTATGCAACTTTGATATAGATGATTTTTGGTATATCAACTTCTTTTGACGATTCCTACAAGCAGTTAAAGTAAATGACTCAACTTTGAAAACACCCTGTATTCTTTGTTAACCATTATAACAAAGTAATATCTAGCATTGTGAGATTCTTCTCGACGACTATAATTTCTGAAAATCGCGTTACACAAGGTTTCCAGCTACAAATCGACCTCCCTCTAGCTTTTTTGATCGTCCAGAAGAAATGTTTTATACAAAAGCTATAGTCTAATATACACAATTATTTATTGTGATTTTTGTATATAGGCTGTCAGTAATATCGAATAAAGTTACCTATTTAAAATAATACGATAAAACATTCTTTATGAAAAAACTTATATTACACCCTATCACGTTTTTACGATTTTTTTTAAACCTTAACATAAACACAGAAGCAAAGTTAACAATTTTTGTATTATAGATAAAAATCAGCAGGCGTTTAAAATACATATAAACGCTAAACATTTTTTTTGTAATTGTATGGTAGATGAAATGGTAATAAAATAATAATATCGAAGTTATTAATCATATATTACGAAAAAGAAATTATCATAAAAAAATATTCAAAAATAGCGGCACCGCAGCGTTTTTCTCCGAATGAAATTTTTCAAAACGGTACACAATATGACTCAAATAAGTGTCATTCTTTTCATTCAAGTGTCTTACAATACCTTTAAAATAACATATCGAAGGGAAATACTTCCGGGATTTTTGATAAGTTAATGTTATCTTTGTTTATTAACAAATACCTTTTTATATATATATTATATATTTTTTTTAGGCTTTTTTTTAGGCTACTATAGTGGTGTTACCCCTTAATGCCCCACGTTTTGTCTTTCAGAAAATAACTTATGTCTGGAAGCCCTTGAATTTTGGACTGTTATCTTTTATATGCCTTATAAATGGTAGTGAAACTGTACATATATACCTCTCCTTTTCAATAGTGTTTTATGTTCCTTTGGTTATTGTCCATATTATGCTTGCAAGGTTTTCCGTGACCTCATGGCCGTATTCTGAGTTTTGTGCGCCCTAAGGCAAAGGCTAAAATGTACGCTCTCCCCCCACTTTATTTGAGATTTTGTACCCCCGTGACACTGCGCCCTGATGCGGCCGTCTCGCTTGCGTACAGCCTGTAGCCGGCGCTACGTAAGACATTTAAGTTAGTTGTAGAGAAGTTTCATAAGGATGGTTTTATCGTGTGCATGCCCCACCACCGCTATCGTGTGGTGTGAAAGACAAGGAACTCGTGGGAACCATATGTTTAGCCTAACACACTGTATCAAGGATTACAGGAAGTAAAACAATCGTTTTTGAAAATCCATTATTGTAATGGAGAAAACTTCACCCGCATTAATACATAGATATAAGGAATTTGTTGTTTTATTTTGAGATACATTTTTTTTCCAGGTCCAAAGCCCGGCGTACTCGGACATATCCGACGACGGCGCCCCACCTGTCACAGAACCCGTGGACGCCGTAGTTGTCGATCGCAACGCCCCTGGTGGCCAACCTCCCAAACCGCCGGGAAGCGGTTCGGATAAAAAGGCAGACGGAACAGTATCAGGACCGCCCGGCGCTGGAGGGCAGCCGCTGCCGCCCCATATGCCTCCCCAGTACGGCATGTACCACCCGTTTTACGGGCAGCCGACGCATCAGTATCTGGTGCAGCAGCAAGCCCAGCAACAACAGCAGGCACAGGCGGAAAAGCAGGCCAAAGAGCAGCAGGAGAAGCAACAGCAGCCACCGATGGGCGGGCCTGGGGATAAGCAGGGTGATAAGGATGGGAAGAAGGTTAGTCGTCTACATTTATAAAAACTAAAAAAGATATTACATTTATTAAAAAAAAACAACAACACAACAACAATCCAATACTCAGTATTTCCCGCTTTAATGCTTAAGTGCCTGGTTTCAGAAATATTTAAAAAAAGGTTTGAAAATGCCCCGTATCATTATACGTCATTAACAAATAAACCGATTTTGAAATACTTTTTTGGGGTTAATTCAGTATTTGAGTTTTAAAATATTGAAATTTCAAGTAACCTTCACATTTTATTAATTGCAATAATTTTTCCATTAAAAATGTTCTGAACTTGTTTTTTCATCAAGAAATAGGGTTAGTGGTATATAACTTAAGCAAAACAATTATATATTAATTGTATCTTTTATTTCTTATCATTAAAAAGTACACTTGAATGTTGACTTATCAACGTGACACATGTGTTTGTTTTGCATGTTTTATATTTGTAAGGTACATAGGGAAACGAATACCCTAGGAAAATTAAACTTCCATTTTGACAGCCAAACCATGGAAAGGCCACCGTGAAAAAGTACATAGACTTATTCGTCCAATCTTCTGCAATAATCGGCAATCGGTCGCAGAAGAACCCACGTGCTTATTTGACAATCAGACAGCAACATGTATAAAACAACAACAAAAAATGAACTCGGCTAAGTGTTGGGGAGGATTAAGTTAATGGTTTTGTGACTATTTTCCCCGCCTACAACATTATTTTTTTATTTTTCTGGTTGGTGAATTTAAAATTGGTATTTTGGTGTATATGAGGTGTGGAAATTAAGTATTGAGACTGATTCCATAAAAAATCGTATATTTAAAAATTGTTCTACAATTCTGCCATCCCCTTCATATTATTCCCCTTGGGTAGCTATACAACGATTCCAGCGCATCTTCCGCGCTTCGTAACATTTCTGGAACGCTTCGACTGAGATATCCGCGAGTACCCTCGTCATGGCCACTTGGATGTCCGTAATCGACCCAAAATGGGTTCCTTTGACCACCGATTTTGCTCTAGGGAACAGAACTAAGTCTCGGACGAATAAGGCGGGACACGCTGAGGGCGGTGTGGCACGGCGCGTTGTCGTTTTCTCAATCTTTCGTGTACCTGGCGATAGTAGACTTGATTTACGGGTTTCCCCGATGGAACAGATTATTTGTGGACGATTCCAAGGCTATCAAAAAAGGTAATAATCATCGTTTTCACCTTCGACTTGCTCATGCGAGCTTTTGCGCTTAGTTTCCGGGTCGTATTAGTTTTCATCGCCTGTTATGACTCTACCAAGCAGCGTGGGATAGTTTCCCACTTGCCCCAAGCAGTCTGCTGCGACGGTCATTCGATGCTGCTTCATTTTCGAGACGAGGCCCACCAGCACATGTCAACTCAACACGACACGAACTAAACAAGGTAGAACGATGGTAAGTATGTCAATGTTCAAGGTCGCAGGTTTACCACAAGCGGGGCAATAAAATCAGTCGCATTACTTAATTGTCACAGCTCGTATAGCACAAAAATTTGGAAATAAAACAAATCAATGATCCTAGTGCATTCAAAAACCACCCGACTGTCGGACGTATGTTGTCTTTGTTTATTGAAGATTTATTTAGCATTAATGCTACAATCTCAATTTTGCGTAATTATTTGTTTAGACATTTTTTGAATGGATTTTCTGTAATTTTACAACTTTGTCTATTACACTAGTCACTATACATTTTCAGTATTCATAAGATAGTTTTCACCTTAAACATTTTTAAATTTGAACACTGTTCAATATCATTATTCAATTTATTAAATTCAAATACTCTCTTTTGAAATACAGATTCATTCAATTAATGTCGATTACGTGGTTTTATTTAAAGCGGCAGAAATATATAAATATGCATCTTCCATTAATAAAGCGTTTTTAGAAAAAAAGTAGACATGGAAAAAACGGACTTAGTTGTTTTTTAAATGACGGATTCAAATATTCATTGCAAATCATCTTCCAAGCAATTACACGGGAAGTGCTGAGTCTCTAATTGGCTCTATATTTCTGTGAAGCTTAGTATGATCAAGCAATTTGATTTTAACACCCAGGTTATACAAAATAGGATTACAAGATTGTTGTTTCGTTCCAGGACAGCGATTATCCTCAGAAAGTCCTCCAACAGCACTACTATCCATACGGATACGTGCCAGGTTATCCATGTAATCTAGATACGACATATGGCGGAGTGCCTCTAGTCCAAGAGGACAAACTGAAGGAAGACCGGGTCAAGAAAACGCCGAGCCCAATAGAACAGGGTGGAGGGAAACAGGCACAGCCTATTCCCAATCCTATTCAGGTATAGGCATTGATAAAGTTTACACGATCTGAAATGACTTGTTCTTATTGCTTCTAATTCCTTAACAATAATATAGTTTTCGTGTTGATACCTTAAAGCCTCACAACGCCTTAAAATATTAAAATTTGTACAGTAAATTCCTCAACACGAGTTAAGAGCCCAACAGTCACCTAGGGTATCCATTGATTTATTCGAAACCAAAAAAAGTTACGCGTTTATAAACTTTGTAAATTACTCTTGGGCAGAGAATTATAGTTCGGAAGATGTTGAAAGGGAATTTAAAAGAACAAAAACTATTATCCTTACAAAATGAATAAATATTTGGTTTACATTTTCTATTGTACTGTTTAAACTTTATTTTTAGTACATAATTTGTTATTGATCTTGTTTAGGTACCAACGCCAAAGGTAAAGTCCACTAGTGATAAGGACAAACATCAAAACGAGAACCATCAAATACTAAAGGAGAGTATAGAGATCAAAAATCAGATGAATCCTTATATGTACTCCAGTAGACAACAACCACCCCAACAAGTTCCAGCTCAGGTAAGTCTACTTCTTGAGCCTGCTATTTACTGCTGTTTGATATTCAGAGATAATTTCTCGGTTATTATATTTCACATCAAACATGTAAATTTGACATGGACACTTGACTTGATGATCTAGCTTGCTAACCCAAAAATTGTTAAGGTACAATCAGAATCTGGAATTGAGGCGAAATTCAATCAAATGCTAGATGGGTTATGTAGGTCTTTTATAATGCAATATTTTTATTCTTTCAGCAACATCATGGACAAAGGGACGAAGATGTTCGGAGATTTTATATCTACCCTGACCAAAGGCGAAAAGAGCAAGGTGTCCCTCAGGAGCATAAGAGCAGTTCACAATCAAATAAGGTATGATTAATGATTTTTCTTTCATTGAGTATGGGACAAAGTGTTTGAGTCCCAAATGTCTCAATTTTGTCGAGACGAGCAAATTAAGATGAAAATGGAGCTTATTGCCAGAAATCTGTTGACACTCCTCAAACCCCTTATTAAAATTCTATTTTCAAATCTTTTACATTATTTCCAAAATATCATAATTTTTCAAACTTGTTTCAGGTCCAGTTACCTCCCAGCCCAAGCCTCAAACCCAAAGACATAAAATTAGAGGAACCCTTGCCAAAGAAGGAGAAAGACCAAGTGTCAACGAAACAGGAAGGCGTAAAGCCCACCATGGAAACACAGGGTCCTCCGCCACCCCCGACGTCCCAGTACGCATACATCCATCCCTCGTATATGCAGCAACATTACGGGGCGCTACCCTTTGATCCGGCCCACCCTATGTACAGGGTGATGGTTCCTGGGCCGTACAGTGGCAGCCCATACTTGCATGCGCCCATGCAGAGGTGAGTACAGGATTAGTAAGGCGATGAGTCAAAATATCACCAGGTACTGTGGCTTTATCAGCTTTCTTGGTAATGCTACAATGTCAATGTTGGATATTCATAAAGTGTTTTATTTAATTTCACCTTAAACACTGCTTAACATTATAATTGTTGAATCTATTAAATTCAAATACTCCCTTTGAAATATTGATTTGCTAGTTATGCTACTATTACAACTTTGTAGTTGTAAATATGTACTACCTCTAATTTCGTGGCTATGATTATTTAATTTCGTGAGTTTTCTTAATTTGGTGATAATACATGTCTTTTTTTAATTTGAATATGAAAATGAGAACTAAATAACATATAAAATTTTTTATATTCAACTACTGAGGTTAATCTTAGTATATTTGATTTTCATTTAAAATGATTCTCATTGCTTTATTTTGTATAATTTGTAATTTTGATATGTTTTCATTTACTGTAAACAAAATAGTTGAACAAAATAAAAAATGGGGAGGAACTGTTGTGTCATACACAATTTGTTTGGAATACATACTAAGATTATGGGAAACTCTATAGAAGTAATTTAAATCTTTTTTTGAAATTTTTGAAATAATGCATTCATAATGATCTTGAAACAGTAGTTTACTATCCACATATATATCCAGATATTTTAATACATTTTGTTTTTTAGTGATTAATTTGTTTTTATTAACATTTAACAAAATTCATAATTTTTTTGATATCATATATATATATATACAGGGTGACTTTGAAGTTGAGTCATTAATTTTCAGATAATGATTGTAGAAGGAAGATAAACCAAAATATGTGTGTAAAAATAAAAAAAAAATAAAAAAAAAAATTTTACCTTGTTTTATAAAGTATCCTCCCGACAAGTATTTCAGTGCGGACCTGTATTTGATCGTGAGGTCCCCTGTGAGGTCTTAAGTCACCTGATTCACGAGCCCGTTGTACTACATTAACAAAGGCACGAGGGGATGGTTGCACTCGATTGGGAAACCGATCCGCATAAACATGTGCCATTTTTTATTTCGTTTGAGCCACGCAACAGACACTATTCACACGCGACTGACACTGACTGTAAGTATAACTGAACTGAATAAAAACTTGTAAAAACATCGTTCCAAATTCTTTCGCTTTTTTGTTTCCGATGCGATGAACCGATAAGGTGGATTATATCCGTTGTTGCCAAACACGAGCACATGATATTATGATTGAGACAGGGCGGTACTCAAACTTCCAAAGGGCTATAACTTTGTTACTTTAATTTTACCAGAAAAATGGTAAAGGAAAAAAACATTTCTTTTGATCAGATCTACTCACTGTTAAAATAAATGACTCAACTTCGAAGTATATATATATATATATATTTTCCTATTTTTTGTTATATATATATATATATATATATATATATATATGTTGGCCCACTTCAAGATTTGTACCAAAATATGCCTTATAAACTAAACATGACGAAACTATCTACTTCTAAAACAATTTATTTTCTCAAAAACATTTTAGATACACACTAGTCGTAAAAAAGACATATTTGAAATCACTTAGACCTATAACTAATAGAACATCTGAACAAATAAACAAGGTACGAATAAATGCGCGAAGTTAACAAAGCAACAATTGAAAAATTACCATTGGGTAACATCACCTTTATTTTTTATTACGGTTGAAATTCGTTGGGGCATAGTGTTAACCGAATTTTGGCACAAATTTGGTGTAAAATAATCCCATAGTTCTTGAAGCTTTTGTCTCAGTTCGGTGAATGTACGAGCAGGATGTTGTCGTACAACCTTTTTCATCTCGTGCCACAATGTTTCAATAGGTGACAGATCTGGACTGCTAGAAACCCATTTCAAAAGTGGTACATTATTTTATTCCATCCATTTTATAGGCTTTTTTGAGGTATGGCACGCTGCACCATCTTGCTGAAACACAAAATCTTGGCCAGATGTCAAACACTCTTTCATCACTGGTAAAAGCGATTCTTCTAAAATTGCCAAATATTTGTTTCTATCCACATTTCCATCAATAAAATGAAGTTTTCCTACTCCTTTTGATGACATACTGCCCCAGACCATAATGGATGCTGGAAATTTCACTTTTCTCTTCAGACAGTCAACACGGAATGCTTCACTTTTTTTGCGAATAACTCTACTGCGACTGCCACCAACACAAACTTCGAACCCGGCCTCGTCACTCCTTTGTATTGCACACCATTGTTGAGGTGCCCATTGTCTATGTTCTTTAGCCCATCTAAGCTGATTTTTCTTTTGCAGTGGAGTTAATACTGGCGTTTCTTTGGCCTATAAACAAGTTGTGCAACTTTAAGGGTTTTACTTCACTCTTTTTAATAAGAAAACTTACATTGCAAGTGATAATCCCAGTTAGTAGGCCTCTCTATGAGTTGTGGATCTCGAAATTCTCCTTCCAACAGCGTCACTCCACAGAGCACTTAATTGTAAATAATTGGCTGGCACGCCTGTTTTTCAGGATTATTCTACTTAATGCTCGTCGGTCGGCATTTGTGATATTACTTTTTTCACATATCGTGGCTTAATATTAACTGAACCAGTTACGTTATATCTTCTAACAATATTTCTCACACTGTACCGCGATAAGTCTAACAAAGTTGCAATTTCTGAGTTTGATTTCCCAGAATTAAAAAATTTAATATCAGTAACCGAATTTTCTCACTAATAACCTTTCCTCTACCCATTTTGAAAACCTTAACTACTCAAAACTATTTTAAACGTATGCTGACAGCTGTGATTAATGAAAACAATTGTCATGGCTTTTATTTTTCACAGCCACCTATGCGTTATAGACTTAATTTTACATTGAAATGAAAATTGGTTGATGTGCTGTAATTGCAACATGTGTTATTTTTGTGCTGCAAATTTGATTAGGGAGTGATAAAGATGGTGTTTTCTACTATATATTATCAAAATATACATTGTTAATATTTTAAACGTATAACACCCTGCTACATTTTTATTATTTGTGTTTGATAAGAAGAAAACTAAGATTTCAATAGTTGGGCCAACTGAAGTGGGAAGGGGCTCATATACATTTAATGTTTTGTCTCACCCGATAAATGTATCAGAGACAGTCTGCTCGCGCTTATCTTGATGGTGTAGATAAAAACATTGGAAGCCTGACCAGTTTTTGTTTGGTTTTTGCTGCGGTCAATCATGAACGTTCTGTTGACGAGATCAGATCTGAATTGTTTGTGTGCATTACAAGTAGTGTTTTGAGCGATAATTAGTTTGATTTCCACCTCAAGCTAACATATATATATATATATATATATATATTGAATAGAAACGGCCTTAATTTACTTCCCTGTGGCACCCCTACTGATATATTTTGAATAATTGACATAATATTTTCAATTTTAATTTTTTGACTTCTATTTACTTAATAATTTTTTAAAACGTTCAATATTGATCCTTAAAAACATAGTGATGTAATTTCTTTAACAATTTTTCGCTGTCTATAGTCTCAAATGCCCTTTTGAAATTTTTGAGATTACTTTAAGAAATTAAATAATATGGGAAAACATCTATATGGCTGAAATGACGGATTTACCAACCTTCGGGTCAAATATTCCAAAAACGGTATGGTGGGTTTTTTACAATTTGAGGATAATAGAAGAAAAGGAAAATACTACTTTTTGAAATCTTTTGTTCTAACATACATTCTCTTTCCAGGTACCACGCCCCGGAGGACCTAAGTCGAGCCCCTCCTCCACCGCCAACCAAAGCCCTCGATATGCTGCAGCACCACGCTCAGTACTATTCTTCGCACAAGATCCACGAGCTGCAGGAACGCGCCATCAAGAGTCCCACACCGAAAACGTCTTCGGCGGCGTCGCCGTCTACAGGAGGCGGTGGCACTGGCGGATCTGGAGGTGGCGTTCAGTCCCAAGTAGGTCAAGGACAAGGTGTCGGAGGCGGACACGGTCCTGGTGGACCACCCCCACAGCATACGGTGAGTTGTTTAATACTGGTCGAATGGTCCCACATAGTAACTCCTTAAGTGAAAATTTCCTCAAAATCTGATGGGTACTTTCCAAGTATAGATAGGCGAGCCATACTGAAGGAAATGAGTCACATGTTTTTTCGAGGTGTACATGTCATATATCCAAAAAGCATATGTTATTTTCGAAATTTTTTCGCGATTACAATACTTCCTCGAAAGTACGTGTTGGAAGTAAAAACGCTCAACTTTAATAGTCTTTCAGTTCCCTATTTTGAAAGATGGCACATTTATATTCTTGAATTATAAAGTAAGCATGACGAACTTCAAAAAGAGATCACATTTCCCCTCATTCCATTTAAAAAAATGTTTCAAGATGGCACCCAACCGCCCCACCACTATTTTCACGCCAAAATATAGGATCCACGCATCATTTGCATCACGAATTTGAAGCTTGAATTTCTAAATATAAGACTAGGTATTTTCCGCATATATATTTTGTCTACCAGCGCGTTACAAGAAAAACAACATATTGTAATAATTTAACGAAGTATCAAATTCAATCAACCTTCAGAATATGACAGCTTCCTTACATTTATGTGGTCAATGAAATATTGTGAAAAGTGACACTGAAATGCGTTCGGAAGTGGCACTTTCAGTTCGCTGGTAGAAAATGTGATTTTCAAAAAATTTATAGATTACTTTCAAAAGTAGTAGTATCTGGAATTAAAATAACCTACCTAGCGTCATGTAAGTTCTCTGCGGTATATATAAAACAGTTTCCCTCTCGGCGGTTTGGTCAATTCCCCTCTAAACTCTCCCAATACTCTGAACAAGGATTACATTCCAACTCCATTTGGCCCACATACCAACACATTCTTCCCTGATTTTATTTCAAATGTCAGTTCAGGTATGAGTACATCACCATTCCGAGTGATCAACGGTATTTTATCAAACTTTATCACATTGTTTTTGAAGATTAGTTAGTTTTCCTCCGTTAGACGTCGAGTCATCATCTCTAGCGACCATGGTCCTTTGGTATGTGCCTTTGTTCAGCTCGGCTAGAACTTTTCGTGACTGAATTACTCTGGCGGTGAATCCTGCCAGCTTGCATCACCGTACTCAAATAGGTTTATTTGTACCATACTGTTACGGATACACACTTTAAAATTATAACACGTCTCGTTCCTCTCTCCTGGATTAAACATTATGTTCAGCCTAAGTTATTCCCTCTAACAAAAGAAAACTACTGACTCTTACTTGTGAGTTCTGACTCTTAACACTGGATAAGTGAATCACAAGCCGGTAATCCCTTCTATGATAAAAAAGAAAGTGTGGATGATTGTTATTCAATCACCTCAAAATATCTGAACGAATCAGGATGAAATGTGGCACGGAGATTATCGTCTGGAGTAGTACGTAGATTACATTTATCCCGTGAAATAATTTTGAGCTATAGCCCAATGGTTAAAGAATTTGACATGAGGTGTTTTGCGCGGAAGCGCTCAGTCGCTGGTCCGACGGAAATGAGTAAAGTTATATAAATTGGACATTTGCATCGCACATTTACTGCATTCCGGCATTCGTTTTCTTAGTGTGTCTTAATTCAGATTTGTTTGGTGTTTTGTTTTACTTTAAGTATAATAGTTTAAGATACTCCATAAATCAATCCAAGCGAATAACCAAAATTTCTGTGTTATGTGCCGCGGTTATGATATGGTTCAAGATGACGCACGGGTTGATGACGTCAGTTACACGAATCGATTGAACGCGTTGGTTTTAACCGCGGTTTTGTTGCAAGTTGTTTATTTTAGAAAAGTGCGTATATAATCTCTGATTATTTTTATTATCACTTAATAATCGGTGCTTTTTTGTTTACAACCGTGTATGGAAAGTTTAAATAAGAAACCTTTCATAATATTAATGGGAGAAATGTTTTTTTTTCAGGAATTTTTTTTTAATGATGGAACCATGGTTTTGTAGCTATGATAACTTTCAATTCTCTAAAGTTTTCCGCATGTCAAGGAAAACGTTTATTGATTTAGCAGAAAAGATAAAAAAACGTTGAAAAAAGAGCTTAGCAAAACCGTATACAGGTGGACATCATCCAGTGAGTTAAATGGCCATATTTTAATATTCTTGTGGTATATGGCTACATATACTTTGTTAAACATAGGAACTAGATTGAAAGTGTTTCCAACAACATGGCGTCACGGATCTTATAACCAAACTGATAACCACACTCGCTTGAACGAATTGGTAAATACCAACCCAAAATGGTAAATACCATTTTCATTTGGTTATCCGCTTGAATTTGATTATAGTAATTCGGATTACAAATTTGATATTAATTTATTCTGACAATAAAGTGTTCCATATAAAATTTCTATCTATTGCATTACTTTGAACATTGCAGTTATTTCTCCGAAACCGTTCTCCTTCACACTAATGAAAAACAAATGACCCATACTTTACACTAATTACACGCGAGCGGAGTCGCGGGTTTAGTCTAGTTCTTTATAAATGTTCATCACATTTATGAGATTTTTATGATCGGCTTGAGATGTATTCATGGTTTTATTTTATTTCCCAGCAACCGCAGTCAGGTGGAGGCGGTCAACCCCCAGTGGGCGGAAACGGAAGCGGCAAACAGCAAAGTGGAGGTGGCGGAGGTGGTGGACAGCAAGGAGTACAGGATAAAGACAGCCGAAGTCCGCCACCACAAAGGCACGTTCACACCCATCACCATACGCATGTCGGTTTGGGGTATCCTATGTACCCCGCACCATATGGAGGTAAGACAAATAAAGTTGTTAGTTTGGCTATAAAATAATTAAAAATTGGATCTTATAACCAATTAGACTTTAACTTTTAACTTTGGATATTCATTTTTAATTAATAATGAACTTCTTAGAATGTTTTATGCTTATTACTTTTATTATTCTCTAAAGGTATTGAACCTAACGACTGTATACAGAATTTGCGATCTCGGTTTTGAATGTGTTCGATAGAAAGGGGAGCGCGGCTGTATGGTGATAACGCGCCTTGCCCTCCGTCGTTGCCAGGTAACGTGGTGACGACGCTTATAGGGCGCACCTTTTAACATACCTTTGCATTAGTGTTGGAGGTTTCTCTCTCTTTCGTACACATTGAAAGCCAAGACCAAAAGAGTAAACGAATTACACTGTATTTGATCAAATTTATTTATTTTTCATACATTTTAACCAATTTCACATTTCAACAAACACGAAACTGCGAACAGTCTGTGAGTCCACGAGTCCAAAGTTAAAGCAAAGAGTGATTTAGCAAGAGAAGATACTGCGTGGAATATCCTTGAATTCCGTCGGACGACTTCTTTGACTTGAATTACTGGTTTAAAATAAAAACATACCGTTCTATGATCGAACCGCCAAACCAAGGGTGCTAATGTCTCGGCATCTATCGAAGGAGTGGCCATGCAGTATTAAAAAACTGAAAATGTAACCCCTGAAACCTATCATAGGATGCTGTTCATGTTCATAGGACTCTTATTATCTGACCAAATTAAACCACATATATGTTTAAATTTCTGTTTATTGTATGACGTTTCGGCCATCACTGGACTTGTTCAAGCACAATAATTGACATATTGTTTATCTGCCTCCAGGTAACATTTCGTTTCTTTTTCCTTTTCACATTCACGGTTCGTCTATAGACTAGAAAGCTTTGTCCATTAAAAGTTGCCTGATTCTTTTTTTAAATAGTTTTAGATCAATGGGCAGTCTGTTGAAGAGTTTGATTATCAAGTATTTGGGACTCTCCTCCATTCTCGACAATCTATGTGACGGCACCTCCAACACTTCTCTGTTTCTTGTAAATTCCAGAATTTATAGAATGAAAATTGTCAAAGTGTGTTTTCCGTAAACCAAAATATATAATATGTGTACTGAAGGCAGCGTTAATATCTCTAAAGTTGTTGTTGAGTAATTCCTTGCCACTAAAGCTTTTTCCCTGATTTGCAGTAGTCTAACAGCTCTTTTCGAGATATCGGCATTTCAAGATTTTGTAAAAGTTTCTGCTTACTGATCAACTTTTTTTTTAAATCTACTCATTTCTTGGAACTGAATTGATGGTTTTCTGAAAGCTGTGAAGCAAATAATTAAGATAAAAACGCTATACCAAAAGTTTGAAACTCTTAGAAATAAAAGGCTGTTAGTGAAGAGGTTTTGATTTTTGTTTATTATTTCCGAAAATCATCATACGTTATTTGAAATAAAATGTATGATATTCGGCATACAGATTTCTAAAATAATTGCAGAACTCCATGAGCTTTCCTAAACCGTACAAATTTTATCAACAATTACAAGCATTTGAAAAAAAACAGCAACCATGGATTAGAGGTAGTAGATTTCGTAAATCCAATTGTCACAAAACAGCTTTCTCGGAATAAAATGCATCGTATTTCCACGTGTCAAACTGACTTGTTTAACTCCGTAAGTATTCGGGTGTGCCCGTCGGAGTGTCCTATGAGGTTTGCGATGCGTCATGACCGACAGTTTATCGCTTAGTACCAACTATCTTTGGAATTCAGACATGGTGTATCGTGTTGGGATCGTTCTAAACATTCCTGCAAATTGCCTGAATGTGTAATGGCTGCTTACGAAAATGAATAATACGCCGACATTATGTATTGCTACTGGTTTTGTGATGGTGACGCTGCTGCAGCACGAAGGGATTACTAAAGGCGTTTCCCTGATCTAAGCGTGCACTTACCGACGCATTCGAGAATCTGGCTCGGTTCATCGACGACAAATAGACGCTGGCAGACCTGCTTTCTATAATACTGACGATGAAGAAGAAATTTTAGGGTGTTTTCGAACAGACCCTACTGTGTCAACTAGACAAGTGGCACGACAACTTGGAATATCCCAATGGAAATCCTGGTTTATCGCTCATACAGCCGAACTTTATCCATACCATTGCACTCCAGTGCACGCTATGGAGGAGGGCGATCCTGCACAAAGGATTGACTTTTGTAAATTATGTAAAAATATCCTTTGGACTGATGAATCGAAATTCGATCGTGATGGTATCACAAATTACCAGAATGCCCACTATTGGGCCCCTGAGCGTCAAAATCCAATACAATTCAGGGAAGGCAAGCCCCAGAAAAGATTAAACGTTTGGATGGGAATTATAACATACTCGTAATAAATTGATTGGACCTTTTTTCTTGCACGACAATTTAAATGGCGCCACTTATGAAAACTTTTTAAGAAATGAAGTGGATGCATTACTAGAAGATGTTCCGCTAGCTGGGAGAATCAATATGATATACCTGCATGATGGATGCCCAGCCCATTATTTTCGACAATGGCTGGATGAAAACTATCCGCAGAGATGGATCGGTCGAGGAGGCCCAACGCCGTGGCCGGCGAGAATTTTCCGGACTTGACGCCCTGCGATTTTTACATTTGGAGTCACATGAAACAAATCCGTTGCAGATATCGAAGATTTGAGGTAGATGATTCTGGCAGCCACCGAAGTAATGAAACGCACTCTTTCAACAAAAGTGACAGTGACCCAACTACGTCGTAGGCTTAGTACTTGCATACGTAACAAAGGCAGGCAATTTGAACAAGATTTATAGTTTTTAAGTACCAACGTAATTTTTTTTCATTAAATCTTTATAAAGTACATGCTGTTCTTTAATTAATTAGATATAAAACTTTACCGAGCTCATTTAATTTATAAATTTAGTTGTACCTACAATTACCCTTTGTACGGTTTTTTTTAGGATATGCCTGAAAAAGTTAAATTTGTACTATTTTGGAAAGCCCATGAAATTCTGTAATTATTTTTGTAATTTGTACGCCGACTGTCATTTCAAATAACTTATGCTGACTTTCGGAAATAATAAACAAAAATCAATATCTGTTCACCAACAGCCTTTTATTTCTAACAGTTTCAAAATTTTGGTGTAGCATTTTTATCTCAATTATTTGCTAGTTTCACAGCTTTCAGAAAACCATCGATTCAGTTCAAAGTAATGAATAGATTTAAAAAAATCAGTAAGCAGAAATATTAAAAAAAAAATCTTGAAATACTAGAATCACCAGTTTCAGGGTATAGGTCGAATTTCCAATCAGCCTGTACTTCATCAAAAAAACGAAGAACAGCGTTTTTGGTTGACAATGCAGTGAGGAAGTTGGATGTATGAAAGTAATTCCTGTGGTTTTACTGAGATCAACCAATGAAATGAAATATATGTATGTTACATTTTCTGCAAATTCTGCATTCATCTCTTTTTGTTTCAGCTGCCGTACTAGCGTCGCAACAAGCAGCAGCGGTGACAGTGATCAACCCATACCCAAAATGACTGCATCAATAGTGTCGCAGTAGTGACTAACATTCCAATTCTCAGTGAGTGTCGTACCAGGACAGTGTAGAAGGTCTCTTAGTGACATGTACCCCCTTGAGACTCATCCCTTTAGCTATTCGTGTCTGTAGCGAAGACCCCCCTAATGAAGGTTGCGATCTGTTGGATCGTTTTCTGACATTGGTTTCCCTTGTGGTTATTGGACACAAAAATTCGCGAAGATAGTGACAGTTGCGTAAGATGTGCTTGCTGTTAGGGGAATCACAGTGACATGGTATCTAGTGCGGATTCTGCGTTTAGTAGAGACGATTGGACGATAAAGTGCTATTTTGTAGACGTGAGGAAAACCTTTGAAGGCAAATTTTGTGCGTCATGTTGGTGGTGCGGAAGTTGGTCTAAATTGTGTACTGGGTTGGCAGTATGCATGTAAGCGTTAGAGTTGCAAAACTCTGATAATGGTCTATTCGAAAATACTAGAGACAAAGATTATGTTTTACTCAGGAGAGACGTACATGTCTACTTCTTTTGATCGTGACCGTCAACCAAAGTACCATTTCTCAGCATATTACAATTTATCATAACATATATTCCCCCAGGACCGGCTTCATGCGGTAAGCATGTGAGGCAGGGCGAAGTGTCAGGGGAGGCGCAAAATTCTCGATTAATATGAGGGGGGATGCATATTAAATCCTTTGTCTCAGGGCGCACAAAAGTCTGAAACCGGCCCTGATTTCCTCAAACCTAGGCCCATGAAGCCGTGATAAAGTCAAAAGTTTGTCTCGATCCTATTTACTAACACACAAAAGCTGAAGCAATAGATTTTGCAGCTGCTGCTATATTTCATGTCAGCTGACTGATTATTACGTCGACTATATTAAAAGAAATGGAAGTGAAATATATATCAGTTCAGTATCAAGTTTCATACATAAGATGATTTAGCATTTACTTTTAACAAAAAATTACCTTCAATTTTTATTTATTTAAGCTACAGGTTATTGTTCGTTTCTCTTCAAAATTCATAATAAATTGTATCTTTTGACGCCTGCGATAACTAATATCGGACTGAATTTGTTCATCAGAAATGGTATTTTCAAGTTTGTTCGACAGCCGCGCTCAAAAAGAAGGCTTTGACTTTTAAATGGGACTGCTTCTTATAAATATTTAAAAGTGTGATATTTTTGTCGATACATTATGTTGAATCATTCGGTACTATCAATATAAATTTACAGATAGTTATACTAAGAGAAGATACTTCATGGGATGTCTTTAGAATCCGCCGGTCCGCCCCATTCACCTTGGCCTTACAACAACAACAGCGATCCATGAGCGAACCGCCCTTGGTTTGGTGGTTCAAAAGTTTTGGGACGGCATATTTTTTGAGAGAAATCAAACCAAATACCAACAATAGAGTGTGTTTAATCAAATAAAAAATAAGAAAGGAACTATTTTCCACTAAAACTCGGCTAGTTGGTAATTATTTCTATAAAAATTTGCTTTAAATTCGTGATTCATCGAAATGTCCACCACGAGCTCGAATACTGCATGACAGACACGACTCATCCGACGTATCAAATTTTCAAGAATAATTGGAGATAAGGATACTCTCGGTACCTGCACTAGTAGGCTCTTGTTGCTTCACCTGTCTGTCCAACTCACTAATATTCAGTAGGAGACAAATCTGGGGACTGGGAAGGCCACGTCGTTTTTCATTGCACCAAGTTCTTGCTGCAGGTCCAAATAATTGCGGCATAGTCGAGATGAATGGTCAGGGTCGTTGTCTTGATGAAATTCGAAATTGTTTCCAACAATCCTTTGTCCTGAGGGAACAGCGTGGTTTTCCAATATTTCCAAATTCCGCTCTTTTCGCATTATACCCTTAATACGAACCAAATCTCCTGTTCGATTTCCAGCAAAACAGCTCCAAACCATTACACTCCCACCTCCATGTTTAACAGTGGGCTGCAATCATTGCGGAGCCATGCGTTTATGAGGTTGGCGGCGTACAAACTGTCGTCGTCGAGATTCGAACATTTCGAATTTGGATTCATCCTACCAAAGGACTCGATTCCAACCGTCAGTGGTCCAATCCTTGTGTTTTCGAGTCCATGCTAACCGGTTGAGTTTATTTATAGGTCGCAGGAGTGGTTTGCATGCTGCTACACATCCTCTAAGGTTAGCCCTTTGTAAGCGGCGTTTTACCGTGGTCATGGACACAGGGTTTTCCCTCGTTCTGTTCAAGCTTTGTATGAGTTCAGGCGAAGTTAAATGTCTATTTCGCTTATTTGTTATTACTATAAACCTATCCTCAGGAACAGTTGTAACTGTGCGTCTTCCAGAGCGTGGTCGATCTGCGACACTGCCTGTTTCCCTCTTTTTCTTCAAAATTTGAGACACAGTGTTCCGTCCTAAATGCAGCTTTTCAGCAATCGCTCGAGTTGGCAATCCCTCATCACGTGAGGCACATACTGCACCCCGTTTTTCAAGAGAAACGTTACCCGTCTTTACCATTTTCCATAATTTTGAAAAAATCTGACCCTAGCACATCGACTAGTAGTTTATGCTAAACTACGTACAATTTTTACTTTGTTTCATTGATACCCAGAATGTTTATGTATCACATTACGCGGAACATAATACATAGTACAAAAACAAGTAAGCAGCGGAAGGAAATCGGCCGATTTATGACTACAATGAACTAATAAAAATATCGGCGTCTCTAATATAAAGATGTTTACATTTATTCCCTTTTAAGTGGTGTGTAATAATCAATCAATGTCATATAAGCCATTTTAAGTTCTCTAAAAAAAAGTTACTGTCCCAAAATATTTGAGCGGTAGTGTAACATATATGTGTGCCAGAGATTGATGTATGAAAGTAATTCCTATTGTTTTACTGGGATCTATCAAAAGGCTACATTCATTTTTCAATATATTTGACTCGGCACGCATTTTAGCGCTCGCATTTGTTAAAATATGAATGCCAGTGTAATATCTAAGAATTCTACTTGTTAAAATGCCCGATATCATTGATTAACGTATTCTACCTAATACTATATTCGCGCGTCCGAAAAATTATCATAGATGAAATGGGATATCGTAGCGTCATATACGAAAATTTGTTACAGCTTTTTTCCCTTTCTGTTTTAGTAACGTCTCTATCACTCCCTAATTTTTATCACCTTCTCTGTCTTCTCTGGGTATAACTTCTCTTTGGTTTTCACCTTGAATATTCTTGAAGGTTCAATACGACTCCATAAATTTTTATTTTTTTTTGTACGAAAATTAAAAAATGTACATACATGTATGTATGGTGTTATAAAAAGAAAATGAAGTTTCTTCCAACTCATCAAAGCTTTTAATTCTGCAAGCACAGGTATTTGAAGTGCATGAGTATATTTTCTGAAAAGTTATTATCGGAAAACGTTCTAGAGTTTTTGCTATTCAGTGTAGATACACTAAGATGTGAGAAAACTTCCACCAAACCTGTTTATAGGATGCACAAGATTTACCTTTGGAGCTGTCTTTCCATCTGTACAAAGTTGTAGAAATTGTAAACGCTACATATATGCTAGCTTACATGTAAACATGCAATTTGTATAGAAGCGATGTCTCTGTATTCACCAAACATTATTGGAAACCGTCAAAAAACGAATCTAGCGGATTCGCCCCGAAGTTTTAAGTGTAAATAATGTAAAGCCGTACGTATCGTTCCTTTAGTTACTTACTTTGTAGTAGACTGAATATTTGAAATTACCTAGGTACTGTGTATTTTTTAATGTCTTCTTTTGTCGTATGAAAACAAAATAAGAACTAGGTATAAACTTTTTATTTTTATTAAAAATGTGCGTTCCAGTTTTAGTGGGGCGTTTGTATGATTACGAATGTTTTTTTGTTTCTTTTTTTACTTAAACAATTGGAGTCTGTACATCCTGTAATTTCTGTAAATATGGTCTTGTCTTATTATTTATGCGCTATTGCGAACATTGAAAAAACACCTTTTTGTGTATAGTAAAATAAAATTTTTGTTATTCTTTTTTAATAAATGTATATTTATATTTTACCCTATTTTATTCGTGTGATACAAATTTTTGGACGATTTTTTATGACGGTATAAAGGATATTTGTAGAAAATTACCTACTGTACAGACTACGAAAGGCTTTAATGTAAAATTGCTTAATAAAAGTAATTCAATCGTCTACTTATGGCCTTTCATTGTTCTGTACCTGTAACCACTAGCATTAATAGTATGCATATATCGACAAAGGCAGCAGCGGTGGCCGCAGTGGTAGACGCTTCGTCTCCTGATCAGTCGCCGTGCGTTGCGAGGGTTCGCATCCCATCCCAAGAGAAATATTTGTCTTGGCTATGGATGTGATTTTTCCGTAGGTGGTAGACGGAGGTACCTACCACCCGGCGGATCTCGTAGGCGAGGCCAGAATGTGTGCATGCTGAATGCACACGTTCCCTCGCTAGAGTCCGTGTGGGATCTCCCTCCTTTTATTCTGTATCCCCTTATAGCCCCACGGTACCCTATGGGTGTTTAGGCCTTCGTGGTACCTGGATTATTACAGAAAGACATTTGGTCGAATGAGTGTTTAGAACCAGCAGAAAATGGAGTTACTCTAGCCTCTAGCGTATTCGTATGCATTTGTTTTTTAAATTTTGAATTATGAACAATAATTTGTTTGAAAATCATCTATGTTATCAAAATATGTTAAGTTAAATTCAACTTTTAACATTTCAATGTAAAAATGTAGTCAAGTGATGCTTCTTGCGAATGCGCATGTATATCTTATTTTATCAATTCTATCCAAATAGAAGTACTAAAAATAGGTCTGAAAACTTCGATTTTCCTAGAAGTGACATGGAACAGCAAGAAATTGAGAATGACAATATGATGCTATGGCATAGAAAGTGTGCCAAGAATTTCCGAATAAGTCCCCATCTTCTGCCACAAATTGCCACAAGACACTTTTTTATCACCTCCTGTGTGTATCGGGTTCCATTTGTTTGAATTCAAGACAAAAATAAAAATTGTGCTGTCCAAAGTACTACTAAAAAAATATATCTGGGATCTGGAGAAAACTTGTCCCTTGCTTAAATCGGCTACGTAATTTCGAATTCGATATTTATTTGATGATATGACTTACACGAGGTACCAAGGGACCCACATTCTGCCTCAAATTCTGCCCTATGATCTTTCATGATTCATCACTTGTAATAACATGATTCGAAAGTAGAAATTTTAAAAAAAAAAACTACTTCTATCTGTGATTTGGAAAAAAACTCGTTTTCTTGGCATGTATTACTAATCTTACGTCAGTTTGACGGTAGGACCCATACCACACATTTTCTACCTACCACATTCACCTCAAGGACCCTATTATTATGTTCCAAATATGTCACAGTTAAAAGAAAAAAATCAAATCTAACAATTGCACATGCTCCTTAACAATGCTACTGGAAATAGATTTTTGTCAAATAATATCACGACGCACTGTGCATCGAGCCCTGGGAATCAAGGGGGCCCCGTAGTACTAACACTGTACTACTACACGACCCATCTACTGATAACTGATATAACAAACCAGCTCCAGCGATGAGATGTACCTCTTAATATTGCACCACGCTCGTGATATAGACAACACAACTTCCATGGCAAGGAATTAACTTCCGAGGCTCCTTTACGTCTATCAGTAAAGAAAAACATAATTCGTTTCACCTTTTAGTGGAAAACTCCCTCAAAGATATAGTATAACAAAGACAGCGATATAGTGATTCCCACAATAAACACGTGAGCGTAACTTATCCAGCCTAGGTATCGAATCGCCCACGGATGCAAAACTTCACCACTCAGAATTAATTCAAAGATGATATGCCAGTTAAAATAAAATTCAGGAACTTCTGAGTCAGCCCAGAAAGTCCAGGTTGGAGATAAGGCAACCACTCTTCAGTTACTACGGATCCCCATTGCCGCCCCGCAGGCTACGCGCCCAAGCTGCCCTTGGTGCCAGTCATCCTGCTCTCTTCGATTTGGCAATGTCACGACAAGATGGCGGACCACACCACCCGACTCAGTTAAGTAACAAACCTTCAGCTGCAAAACGAGATCCAGATTAGGATCGCCTCAGGCATAAAATATTCTCGGTATATCCGCGAAAGCAAAGATAATAATATGACTTTATTAGGCGGGGCTCCGTCGTTGTGTGCTTTAGCCCAACATTAAATGCTAGAAGAATTTACATTCAATAAACCTATCCTAATTTAAGCATAGTCGAAGGATTGCTAATACATTCCGACTTGAGACTAACATTTAAAAGAAAAAAAGAAACAAGTACAATTTATATTTTCCGACAGCAGACAAAATAGTTATTGAGATGAATAATAAATTTGAACATTAAACTTAAAGGATGGTATGCTTTTAAAATACTTTGCATTTGCTGGCAAGGGACTATAGAGAGCCGCAGAGTTCTGAAAGAAGCTTTTAGCAGAAAAGAAATGGATCTCTTCTACTGCGGTCCTGTATATTTGCAGGAAATAGCTTGGTGAATAAAACATACGTAATGAATTTTTCTTCAGATATCGCACATCATAAGAATATTGTGTATAAAGTGGAGTTATATGGTTACGCTTTTTAGTTCTATTTATGTCGAATCTCAAGCCAACATTTTGTACCACATGAAGCCGGTGGGCATGTAATTCAAAGGGCTCATATATATCTCATCACAGTAATCAAAGATAGATACAATCAAAGATTCAAAAATTGTTAATTTTGTATCAGTACTTAATAGGAATTTGTATCTACAACGAGACTTCAGCTTTCCTTGAGCTTTTCTTATTTAATTATTAACATGAGTAATAAAAGATAACCTTGTATCTATAACGAGATTTCAGCTTTCCATGAGCTTTTCTGATTTAATTATTAACATGACTAATAAAATATAACCTTGCATCAAATACTAGACCCAAATTTTTGCACTCAAAATAATTTGTATCGCGGTATTACTCAATATTTGCCTATTTCCAAACACCAGTTTCTGGCACTGTCTGTCAATGCCTAAAAGCATTGCTGCAGATTTAATTGGGTTGATGACAAGTGCATTTTTGCTTGACCACTGGTATAATGGCTTTCAAATCTTCATTAATTGTGGAAATCACAGTATTTTGGTCAACAAGACTGAATGAAAGGTGTATTTGACAGTCATCAGCATACATATGAAGGTTTTATATGATGTCCAGAGGAAGGTCAGCTGTATGTATAACATAAAACAAACGGCCCAAAATTGAGCCTTGCGGCATTCTGCTGCACACTATGTGAGAGTCAGAGTAGATGTAAGATGTAATCTGATCTGCACTTTACTTTCATCTGCTGGGACATGTCAAAAAAGCACAGGTATATTCTTTAATTCACCGGTTGATTCCATCACTGATGGATCCGGTGAACATATGGTTGACAGCTGATGTGATGACGTCAGCAACCGGTTACGTTGAGTGGTGGTTAATAAAAAGACGCATTTTTATGTAGCCTTCAGGTTGCTGTCATATGAGAAAAGCTAACCTTTGTTTTATCGTGAATGGATAATTGTTAATTTGAACACCGTATCATTTAAAATCATTACGGCAATGTAAGCAGCAGTTTGTATCGTCGTGGAACGTTTGTTAAGTGATTGGAGTGATGATTCGGATGAAGAAGTTATCCAGTGGAGAGAACTTGCGCTGCGAGAATCAATAAAAGCACTATAAATCGGAAAACCATAAAACTTTCAGATATGCATAATTCAAAATAAAATTACTCGCCTTCAGATGCTCTGACGTTTATTTCGAATTGTGTTAAAAAAAACCTTAAATTTCACGCCACTCCTATTCTGTAGAATAACTTCAATCTTTTCTTCTTCAATTTTTTCACACAAAACTGTAGTTGTCAAAAAATGAAAAAATGTAGAGGTTAGAATATCGTGGATCAATCGAGCCCGAACGTCGGTGGATGCTGTTGGCACCGTCGGCATACCCACCATCAATATAAAGACAAGTTTGATATACAACCGGTCGTTCCAGTGGAAATTAAAGGACGCAAAAATGGCTAACCGGTTACACCGGTAGCTCAACCGGTGAATTAAAGAATATACCTTGAACCACTCCGATGCCTTCCCAACAGAGCCCATAGTATCTCAACTTAGCCAGCAAAAGATTGTAACTCAAACTGTCGAAAGCCCTGGAGTAGTCCAGCAAAACTAATGTAGTCACCTGTGATTTATCCATCGCGCTCTCGGCGTCATCCACAATGTCTGTCAACACTGACGCAGGACTATATCCACTACAATATCCAGGTATCCAGTAATACGAGCCCCTTCCCACTTCAGATGGCCCAACTATTGAAATCTTAGTTTTTTTCTTATCAAACACAAATAATAAAAATGTAGCAGGGTGTTATAGGTTTAAAATATTAATAATGAATATTTTGATAATATATAGTAGAAAACACCAACTTAATCACTCCCTAATCAAATTTGCAGCATAAAAATAACACATGTTGCAATTACAGCATATCAACCTATTTTCATTTCAATGCAAAATAAAAGCCATGACAATTGTTTTTATTAATCACAGCTGTCAGAATACGTTTAAAATAGTTTTGGGTAGTTAAGGTTTTCAAAATGGGTAGAGGAAAGGTTATTAGTGAGAAAATTCGGTTACTGATAATTAAATTTTTTAATTCTGGGAAATCAAACTTAGAAATTGCAACTTTGTTAGACTTATCCCGGTACAGTGTGAGAAATATTGTTAGAAGATATACCGTAACTGGTTCAGTTAATATTAGGCCACGATATGTGAAAAAAAGTAATATCACAAATGCCGACCGAAGAGCATTAAGAAGAATAATCGTGAAAAACAGGCGTGTCAATTATTGACAATTAACTGCTCTGTGGAGTGACGCTGTTGAAAGGAGAATTTCGAGGTCCACAACTCATAGAGAGGCCCACAAACTGGGATTTAGCACTTGCAAGGTAAGTTTTCTTACAAAAAACCCTAAAGTTGCACAACTTGTTTATAGGCTAAAGAAAAGCCACTATTAACTCCACTGCAAAAGAAAAACCGGCTTAGATGGGCTAAAGAACATAGACAATGGACACGCCAACAATGGAGTGCAATAAAATGGAGTGATGAGGCCCGATTC